GCCCAATGAGGGGGGTGGTGGTGCAGGAGGCAGCTGCTTGCTGTATCTCTCTCACATCGATGTTTCCCCCTCTCTCTCTAAAAAAAAAAACCAATAAAAACATATTTTTTTTTATTGATTTTGGAGGGAGAGGGAGATAGAAACATCAATGAGAGATAACATTGATTGGTCTCCCGCATGTCCCCCCCGCCCCCCCCAGGGACTTGGCCTACAACCTGGGCATATGCCCCAATCGGGAATCAAACTGGCGACCTCTTGGTGCATGGGTTGACACTCAACCACTGAGCCACACTGGCCAGGCAATAAAAACATTAAAAAAAAATGGATTCCTACCGATTAGAAATGCCATCTCTTACTATATATTAAATTTACCTACACACAGCCATCTGTCTCTGGGTTCTCTTCTGTTCTTCTGATGTATTCATCCATTTCTGCGTAAGTATTTTACAATACTAATCAATAAAACTCCCACATCTTTTTGTTTCTTCCTTCACGTCTATAATTGTACACTATACAATGTGCATTTGACTTTTTGGATTGATTTGGGGGAAGGAGTTGATGGTTTTATATGAGGTTTTTCTAGGTTCCTGGCATGTCCCTACTTTCTTCAGGTCTTCTATGTCTTTGGTGAGACCAGTTTTCTACACAAAGGCATTTTACACTTTGTGTCTCATGTAATCCTATTTTGTAAGCACTGTATTATTTTGTTATTGTAAATGGGGACTTTAAAAAGTTCTTAACTGTGGGCAGAGGTATTGATTTTTGGAATATTCCACCCATCTCATTGAGCCCTTTGATCCATCCCAAGAGCCAACTGATTCACTGGGTTTTCTCTAAAGATGGTCAAATCGGCTGAAAATGTCTTCCCTCTTCTATTCAGGTAGTAACACCTCATTTCGTAGCATTGGTAGTAGGCTTCCTTGTTCGGTTCTAATTAATACTTTTAATATTTCACCATTAAGATGCATCACAGTGGGATTGCATTTTATCCGATAACTCAATTTTAGGACATTTACTTTCCTTTGAGGTTTCATTTTTCCTTGAGATTTCTTCATAACTGGGGGGCTGAAATGCATCCTATGCAAATTTATTGAATGGCATCTATTAAGTTAATCATGTTTTTTTTAAATCCTCACCCGAGGATATTTTTACATTTATTTTCAGACAGAGTGGGAGGGAGAGAGAGACACATCAACGTAAGAGAGACACATCGACTTGTTGCCACCCGCATTACCCCAACCAGGGCTGGGGACAAACTGCAACTGAGGTATGTGCCCTTGGCCGGAGTCGAACCAAGGACTCTTTGGTCTGCAGGCTGATGCTCTGATAGCTGAGCCAAACTGGCTAGGGCTAATCATGTTCTTTTTCCTCCCTTTACCTTGTTAATGTAGTTAATAACATTGACAGAATTTTATTTTATTTTTTAAAATCTTTATTGTTGAATGTAGAATGTATTACAGATATTCCACATTTTCCCCCCATTGACCCCCTCCTTCCCACTCCCGCCCCCCTCCTGCCTTTCCCCACACTATTGTCTGTGTCCATTGGTTATGCATGTAAGTTCTTTGGTTTATTTCTTCCCACCCCCTCAACCCCTTTCCCTTTGAGGTTTGTCAGTCTAGCAATGAATTTATACTTCTTAATCTCTTCACCTTTTTCACCCATTCCCCCAACGCCCCTCCCATCTGGCAACCAACAAAATGTTCTCTGTATCTATGAGAATGTTTCTGTTCTACCTGTTCATTTTGTTTGTAGATTTCATTGTTGATAGATATGTATTCATTGCCATTTTGTTTTTTCATATATTTTATCTTTTTCTTCAAAAAGACCCTTCATCATTTCATATAATAACGGTTTGGTGGTGATGAACTCCTTTAACTTTTTCTTCTCTGGAAAAGTCTTTATATGGCCATTGATTCTAAATGACAACTTTGCAGGATAGAGTAATCTTGGTTGTAGGTTCTTGCTTTTCATCACTCTGAATATTTCTTGCCACTCCCTTCTGGCCTGCAAAGTTTCTTTTGAGAAATCAGCTGACAGTCTTATGGGAACTCCCTTGTAGGTAACTAGCTGCCTTTCTCTTGCTGCTTGTAAGATTCTCTCTTTGTCTTGAACCTTTTGCATTTTGATGATGATGTGTCTTGGTGTGGGCCTCTTGGGGCTCATCTTGTTTGAGACTCTCTGTGCTTCCTGGGACTTGTATGTCTGTTTCCCTCACTAAGTTGGAAAAGTTTTCTGCCATTATTGTTTCAAACAGGTTTTCAATTTCTTGTTCTCTCTCTTCTCCTTCTGGCACCCCCAAGATGCGAATGTTGGCACGCTTGCAGTTGTCCCAGAGGCTCCTTACACTATCCTTTTTGGATTCTGTTTTCTTTTTGCTGTTCTGATTGGGCGTTTTTTGCTTCCTTATATTCCAACTCGATGGTTTGCTTCTTGGATTTACGTACTCTAGTATTGAAGCTGTGTAAATTATTCTTTATTTCAGTTAATGCCTTCTTCAATTCTGACTGTGCATCCATAATTTCTGAATGGTCCTTTTTTATGCTCTTGAGGCCCTCACTAAGTTCACTGAGGTTCTCACTGAGTTCATTGAGCATCCTTATAAGCAGTATTTTGAACTCGGCATATGTTAGGTTGCTTATCTCCATTTCGCTTAGTTCTTTTCTTGGGGTTTTATTCTGTTCTTTCATTTGGGACCTGTTTCTTTGTCTCCTCATTTTGGCTGCCTCCCTGTGTTTGTTTCTATGTATTACTTAATGAGCGGTATGGGGCTCGCTGAGACCAGATGCTCCTCGTTTGAAAGAATTTAGGAAAAACCTGAAGCAGGATCCAAGACCGGCCAATCCTATGGTTAAGCAACTGGCAACAGCTTGGGTGGGCCTGAAAGTTGGGTGGGGCGGGGCCTCAGGGAGTCAGCAGGGCGGGGCTACCAGTGTGAGCCAGGTTGCTGGAGTCCCAGATATGGCGACTGTCTGCCGCTCCCGGGAAGGGCTCACCAAAGGAACAAAGGCCTCTGACAGCACACCTGTCCCGGAGAAAGCCCCCTCTCCAGCCCTCGCTCCAGTGCCAAACAGCTCAGTTCTTCCCTGTATGTCTCTGGCGCCCCTAGAGCTGCCTCCCCTCCGAGCTTAGAGGGAGAGAGTCCGATAAGTCCGTGCGCGGGCCCTTTAAGGAGCTGCCTGGGGCTCCAGCCGCATCGGCCTCCCTGAGCCTCAGTTCCTGCTGGTTTTTCCAGCCAGAAGTTATGGGGATTCTCTTCCTGGCACTGGAACCCTGAGCGGGGCATCTGGTGTGGGACGGGGACCCCTCAGTCCCTGAGCCGAGGTGTCCTCCAGACTTTTATCCACCACACGTGGGTGTGGGACCAGCCTGTCCCCTCCGCCCCTCCTACCAGTCTGGATGTGGCTGCTGCTTTAATTCCGTGGTTGTAGGACTTCCATTCAGCTTGATTTCAGGTGGTTTTGAATGATGGTTGTTCCGTAGTTTAGTTGTAACTTTGATGTGGTTGTGGGAGGACGCGATACCGCATTTACCTACCCGCCATCCTGACCGGAAGTCCTTCTTTTATTTTATACTTTATTGATTTTATAGAGAGAGGAGGCAGAGGGGAGATAGAAACATCGATGAGAGAGAACATCGATTAGCCGCCTCCTGCATGTCCTCCACTGGGGATTTGGCCCACAGCCTGGGCACGTGTCCTGACTGGGAATCAAACTGGCGACTTCCTGGTACATGGGTTGACACTCAACCACTGAGTCACACCAGCTGGGCATGACGGAATTTTCTAATCACTCATTTTATATTTGGTATCTTTAAAAATACATTTTTAAAATTGTATTTACTCGTATTTCATATAGTTTATGACCTGGGTTTTCAGTATTGTACCTACATTGTTTATCAACTATTAAACAAATCAATCTATTAAAACTATCACAAATATTCTAATGTGTAATATGTGTGTGTGTGTGTGTGTGTGTATTTTTTATCCTCACCTGAGGACATTTTAGCATTTATCTTCAGAAAGAGATGGGGGAAGACAGAGAGAAACATCGATGTGAGAGAGACACATTGACTGGTTGAGACTCGCTCAACCCCAACTGGGGTGGGGACAAACTGCAACCGAGGTACGCGCCCCTAGTGGGAACCAAACCTGAGACTCTCTGGTCCACAGGCCGATGCTCTAACTGCTGAGCCAAACCAGCCAGGGCCTAATGTGTAATGTATAAGCTTAAGCCAGCCAGGAGTCCCACATTATTGTCATAAATGTTTCTGGAGGAATGGGCTAAGAGGTGGCACAGTCTGACGAGAGGTGCAGTAACACCGTTTAGGATTCGGGACCTAGATTCAGCCATTAAGTGGTTGGATAATCTTAAGCAAAACTCACCCTCTTGGCTTCAAATTAAAAATCTATAAAATGGGTTAACCTGCTGGGTAGTGTCCACTCCTGCATAACTGTAAGACATTATTAATTTACAAGCCAGGTATATGTAGCCTGGCTGGTGTGGCTCAGTGAACTGAGCATTGTCCCATGGACTGAGAAGTCCTGGTTCTATTCCTAGTCAGGGTACACGCTCAGGTTGCAGGCTTGATCCCCAGTAGGGGGCGTGCAGGAGGCAGTTGATGGATATTTCTCTCTCTAAAAAAATTAATCAATAAAAACCTATAAAAAATAAAGAAAATAAAGATCCTTCTTTAACAAAAAAAAGATGTATATGTTTTTAAATTCTCACCCAAGGGTATTTTTCCATTTTATCTTCAGATAAGAGTAGGAGGGGGAGAGAGAGAGATACACATTGAATGGTTGCCTCTCGCACAACCCCGGCCAGGGTTAGGGATGAACCAAAACCAAGATATGTGCCCTTGACCAGGATGAAACCCGTGATCCTTTGGTTCACAGGCCGATCCTCCACCCGCTAAGCCAAACCGGCCACGGCGAGATATTTTAAATTTAAATGCACTTATAAACAAAGGTACAATATAAACACATTACAATCTCCAAAGCCATGTAAAACCCGAAGGCATTAAAATTTATTAAATGATGCAATAACAACAGAATTCTTTATTTACAATAGCATTATTTAACATCAAATAAGCAAAGAGCATCAGCAAAGCAATATTAACTTGCATAAATGTATTTAAAATTTCTCTGAATATATCTACCTTTGCATAAACTGCTCACACGAGAAATACAAACATCGATGCAGGTGAACAAAGTGATGTTCAGAGTCAACTCCATTTTGAAAATAAATCACAACCTGAAACACTGTAAGCTTTCTCCTGAAGAACCATAGTTAATATATTGCTTAATTTTACCCTTGTATAATCTTTTCATATACACACATCTCAGATGCAACTTCATGAGGAACTGTACAAATAAAACCCACAAATGACAAAGGAAAAAAAAAAGACAAATGTTTGAAGAAATGTATCATCATCACTACTCAACAACATAGAGGTTAAGTGATGATGTACTTATTCAAAAATTGTACACAATTCACTATACAAATATAATACATCGGACAGCTATGTAGGAATATACAAGACTTAAAAACAGATCTAAGGCATTATGCTAGATTTTAGCATTTTGAGGTTCTTGCACATAGCTTTTACCTGTAGTAAGAAACTTAAAAGATTTTGTTTTAGTCTATAAAGAAACACCAGGGAGAAAATACTAATTAAAATCGAAGCCACTACAGTAATTTTCTTTTGTGCAGAGAATGCTTTGCTCTTAGGCAGCATACTACCATACAAATACTAGAAAATTTTAAATTCACACCAACAATTAATGGCTTAAGTTGCATTTCAAAATTGATTGTGTATCTTTGGGTTCTACAGTGGATGTGTGCCACCCATTTCATGTGTTCAGCCCATATGAACTCCATTTTTAGACACAGATTAAAAATTGCATTATATAAACTGCAAAAACATTGCTTTCAATTATTACAGGCCATAGGAGATACACGTGGGAGGGGGCATTTTAATCTTTGAGTCAAATGAATTCATTGTAGTAAAAGAGCTCACTTCACTTTTTCAACTTACCACATTACATGAACACTTAAATGAGTCTTACAACCAAGTGAATGTATGTATACTTTTCACATTATTTGTTTTTCACATTTAGTAATATAAGTAAAACACTGATTCTTTGTCCTATTAAACAAAAACCAAGGACTCAGCCTAACAAATTTACTGTGTACAGCATGAGAAATACTGATAACGAAGGGGATCGATTTGGCTTTTGCTTCTACAGTGATCAATATGATCAGAGGATTCCTTCACTTACTTTCTGCTCTTAATTAGATGTAAAGCAAAACCCATTCCCTGATCTGAGCCATAAGAGAATTTATAATCTCTTTTCCTTCAAAACAGCCATGATCATGGATATTTGAAATGACCAGCACTACCAGTTTGCAGACTTGTCTGACTGGGGGTGGACATGAAAACACAGTGGGCAGATGGATCAACAGTAAGACACAAATCCTTTTCTGACAATGTTCTAGTGAAAGGGAACTTAAACAAATTCAGCTTAAACTCCATTTCTCCTTTGTGCTGTGTGAAGTTAAAGTCATTCTAAGTCACGTGTTTCTAAAAAGCAACTTACAACTGGTCACATTACATTGTGCGGGATGTCAGCCTCGTCACACTGATGCGATCATGGAGTTCTGGGCCAGTGTCTGCTCATTCTGTCCATCGCGGTTGGGCAACCCAATGGTTTGGCTGAGGAGAGGAGAGCCTTGTGAGGGGCATGTGGACTGGTGGCCCTGAGAAGTGCTGTTCCTGGGCCACCTCCCTGTAGTGAAACCCCTCTCAAGTGGAAAAAGGTATCAAAATGCAAATTTCCGGAAACCTTCTTTAGTATATGGAGCAACACCTCCAGACTGTCTACTTACAATTCAACTTTGCGCTATATCTCTATCATCCATCACTTGCACATATAGGGAGAGATATAAATATAAATAGGGGTAGTTTGTCCATTGCCCACCCTGTCACAAATAATCAATCAAATTTCAAGGAAAAACCTCTCTGTTCCTAAAAAGCCTGGCTAGTGAGATATAAAATGCTTTGCCTTTTAGACATCAAAAAGACATCATTCTGAAATTTAGATAAGAAAGTATGTGTCTTAGGGGTTGGGGAAAAATAGCTCAAAAAAGGTAATCAGTTTCTTGGTATTGCACTTGTTGGAAACTGACACCTATTAATAAAAGATTATTCCCCTTCCCGAGCGGGCAAGAGAACCTAAAAGTGGCCTGCTCAGTACATGTGGTCTTCCTAAGGTTCGTTAAGAAAGAATATAAACATATAAAAATCAAGAACTGGGTCCTACAGCGTCTGCATATCATATAGATTAGATAAACAATTTATGAGCAGAATCACAAGGTTTAGAAAATAAAAAGTCTTAAGTCTACAAATTAGGTCTAATCAAGGCATTGATATCCTTTACAAAACACCTTTAGGAGACATTGCTATGAAGATATCTAATTTAATACTGAAGTACCTCATTTTTGAGTCAATTCCACAATATGTATACCTCACAAAAATTATACAATTAGAACACTTAAAGTTCTCAACTTAAATTATTGCTTGTTTACATATAAATTGGATTTTATGTACCTTACAAAACTTCAGCTTAGTCAGCACTGCTAAAAACAAAATAAAAAACACATGGTAGAGGTGACACGTGTCGTGTGTCAGTGTTCGACACACCACGACTTCCTGTGTTGTGGGCCTGTCACTGGGGAACAGAAGGGACACGCTTCTGAAGCAGGTGTCCTCAGTGTGACTGGAATCGTCCTGACTCTGCTCTTCTCCTTGGCTGGCAAAACATTTAAGGAAATAAGGGGCATACCTGGTTACTGTTGCATTTATTGTTTTTTTGTTTTTTTTTTAAATATATGAAAGTAGGGGTGGGGACTGAGGAAGGGAAGAGTCAGGATCAGGTGAGAAAGAGGAGATGCTAATCAAAGCTGTCTGATCAATCTACAGGGAACTTAATTAAAAATGAAAACTATTTCTTCCTGATTCACGATTTAGATGAAGTCATTTGGTTTTAACAAAAAAAAAAAAAAAAGGAAAAAGTACTGGTTAATGTGAACAGCCCTCTCACGCGCTCCTTTTCATCTGTTCATTAACTGGAAACTCTTTCCAACTTGGTCTTGAGAGCTTTCTACAAAGACATTGGTCTTCACTTGTTGGGTGTCTGTGTCCACGCAGCGCTGTCCATGGTGTCTGCCCTGCTTCTATCCCAAATGCAGTTTGCTTTTTAAAAAAATCCTTTTCTTTTCCCCAGATAGAATCTGAATTTTTGTACTAGACTGATTAGCCAGGGAAAACAAAGCAAGAAACCAGCGCCTGGAACCAAACAGGAACAGAACAGAGCATGGTAGTTTTCCTTAAACACGCACATCTAAATACATTCAATCTGACATGGGTGTGAAATTTGCCTGTCAACATTTACTTCGCAGGAGAGATCTAAGTTGCACTAAGGTGAATGCAGTGAACAGACTGAGCGACTGTCTGGACGCAAGCTTCGGGCTGCGGAGGAGGCAGCTCCTCCTGCAACAGCCACTCCCCGGGCCAGGCCCAGCGTCTGCGGCGGGTTGGTGGGGTCAAAACAAATAGACGCAGCTCTCCAGACCGTAAGTATTTTGAGCAAGTGAGCCCAGTCAGCTGAAGAAAGGAGCAACTAGCTACCTTCAGTGTCAGCAGTATTTCTGCAAGAAAACAGAAAAAGTTATGAAAGATCTCTGAGTTTTTGGTAAAACCATCATAGAGCCCATTGCAAAAACATCAAAATACGTTTGAAACAATACCAGCCACAAAGGCTGCCTCTGGGTGACGGACTTGATCCTGCTGCAGACAAATAGGTGATGCTGTCCCTCACTGAACACATGATGCTGGAAAGCAACAGACCCCACACACTGTTCTGAAGGACTCTGCAAGGGTTCTGGTCGCCCCTTCTGAATGGCTGCTGCTCTTAGCAATGACATCCTGGCTCAATTTAATCTCTCCCATCCACTCAAAAAAGGTGAGACACTCCCAGCTGTTGAACTGCCCCTGCTTCTTGACAGCATCTGACCCATAACTGGCCAACACCCAGTACAAACTCACTGCCTATAAAAGGTCCCATGGGTGTGTTCTCCCTGGCATCAGCAAGCTAAATCCCCCAGGGTTTTTGTTAAACAGGTATTCTTGTTAGTTTTTGGCTGCTATGTGCTGAGGATATGGATGGCTGGACACCTGGGTTGTTTTGTAGTGAGTAAGAATCACGTGGAGGTGTTTCTCTAGTTGGTGCAAGTATATCTATCAGTGCTTTTTCTTTGGCTATTGACTATCTCCCTCCACAAAAGTTTTCATCCATTTAGCAAATATTAATTGAGCACCTGCTCTGCCAGAAGGAAATGCCATCAAAGCACTGCTCAGTAGGCCAGGTGGACGATCAAATATCAGTTTGATCTGAGCTACGTGAGGGGAAATATTACTTGCTGTGGGGAACATGTAACAACTGTTTCTGAGATTTAGATATTTAGACACAGATTTTAGCCCATCAGGGCCACTAAAGATTATCTCATTTGAGTAAGGATAGGGACAAGTTGGCCCAAAATAATGGACTTCACCATAGCACCTTGAGAAGTGGTCTGGGGGACTCCAGTGGGACCATGCGTTCTCGGGGCAGGGGCGGAGCTCCTGTCCTGGGCACTCGCACAACCCTGCCCTGCCCCCCCGGCTGAAAAATGAGCTCAGGGGACTTCTCATTATATTTCTTTCCTCCGGGAGAAGAACATTTAATACACCTTTCTCTGTAATATATTTGTTCCTAATTTGTGTCATTTACATGATTTTATATGAAAATACTCCAAGGCTACTGAAGAAAAAAATCTTTTAAATTCCAGTTAATCTGGAAGAAAATTCTAATGGAGAATTATTTATATCCTTCAAAAATTTAAGGCAGAATTCTTTTTTTTAAAGAGAGTGAGGAAGGGGGAGAGAGGGAGATAGAAACATCGATGAGAGAGAACATCAATTGGTCGCCTCCTGCATGCCCCTCACTGGGCATGTGCCCTGACCGGGAATTGAACCAGTGACCTCTCGGTACATGGGTCAACGCTCAACCACTGAGCCACACAGGCCAGGCTAAGGCAGGATTCTTTAACATGGAGAAACACCATACGCGGCTATGAGCCAGAATCAGGTTTGTGACAGAACACGGAGCACGGATGACTGGAGTGGCCCGGTGTGGCATGCCATCCTGGCTGTGTAACCAAGTGGGAGTCACTTAACCCTTTGCACCTGACACATGTTAGGTCTGTTGTGAGGATTAAACAAAATAATGCACATAGAGTTTAAATAGTTCCTGGGACATAGTAAGTGCTCAGTAAATATCATCATCATCCTCATCACCACCAACTCAAAGCTGATCCCAGTTTCTGTAACACTAGAAAATACAAGTAATTACAATTCTATTTTATATGAGGCATCAGGCTAGGCTGGGCAGTAAACTCAGTTTTAATATATTTAAATATTAAAATATAAAAAAGTGCTATAATAAGTCCTGTAAAAGGAAGACTCTTGGTTAAAATAAAATACATGCCCTTCTCTACACAGTTTTTTGGTAAGTCCACAGTTGTATATACTAGCTTTGCTTAAAGCAAGGTACAATTTTAATCTCCACTTCAAGATAAACGGAGCACAGATTCAATTAATAATGAATCGCAGTGGCTTCTAGCTCAGCAAATAGAACCCAATTACCAACAAAAATTCTGAAAAAAGTCCCTCTATTTGCACAGCGCAGAGCACGCACAGCGACACAGGATGAAGCGGCTGAGCCTCTGCGCACGTCAGTGCTCCGCCGCACATGCGCAGTGACCACCAGCTATACCGGTGGCTCACAGGGCACATGGCCTTCCCGAAAGGAAACAAGACTGTCGGTGACAGAATGTTTTCTGGCCTTAACATTCGGCATAAAGAGAGTGCAGATGGATAAGCCAGAATCAAGAGGGGACTGGAAAACAACAGAAAGTGAGAGGGTACAAATGGCCCAGCGAGAGGGTGGCGGGAGCGAACACTCACCGTGGATCCCGAAAGGCACCTTTGATGGAGAGAGCCTCCTGTAGTTCCTGAGGTTGCTTTTCGTGATCCTAACAATAATCGTCCCATCCCAGTTTTAGCAGCACCATCAGGCACCTCCACGCGTGTGCAGGTACCTTGGACCTCGGGACCCACCTGCCCGGCGTTCATCTCTCCACCTCGCCCAGCACCAGCTCTGGGAGGTCCCTGCCTGTCCTACGTATGATCCACCGCCACTTTCTAGCCGTGTGACCTTGGACAGACGACCTAACTGAGATTCACTCTCCTCATCTAAGAATGCGGGAAGGCCGGGGTTAGAGACCACAGGCGCACTCCCTTTCCTCTTAGAGGCTCTTCCCTCCCGAGATTAAGCACCAACGTCTGGGGCTGAGGGCTCGGTTAATGGAGCTGAACCTTGTGTCTTTCTCTTCCCTTTAGGGTCTAGAGCGAGAGAAGGGAACGCTCTGTTCTTTCTGGCCTTCTCCAGCATGACCAGTCTCAAGCCGTTAGGAAAACCTTTGGGAGGTGGGCAGCAGAGTGCTGGGGCGAAGGGCGCATCGCTGAGCTCAGCCCGCCCGCTCCACTCCCTGCTGGTGAGGGACCTGGAGGCTTGCAACCCACAGACTACTTCTGCTACACGTGCGAAGGAAGCTCCGCAACAAGGCTTGCGGAAGCGCTCAGTACACGCTGACGTGTCTGTGATTTTAAAGAAGAGCGTTCTGCTTTACATGTGGCCAGTCTTTTCTGTTTGGAGGTGAGGTAGCAGCAGAGGGAGACAAGGCAAGTGAATTTCTGGGGCTCGTGGAAGACAGGAGGGGAGGACTGGTTGCTGGGGGCCTTACCCTGTCAAGTGGCTTTCCCAGGGAGCCAGCTTGGATGGGGCGCTGGTCTGGGCCAGTACACAGCCACACTGCAAGGTGAGGGAGGGAGGCAGGTCTGATGGACTTGGAGAGGGAAATGCCATCTGGGCCCCCAAATGCATCTTCCCTTCCACAGAGACTGGAAGTGCTCAGAGGTTCAGCTCCCGGGCACTTTTGGGTTCAAGTGGCTGTCCTCTGTGGAAGCCCCATCATCACTAATGTTGCTGTTCCTCTGGGAGGTGCAGCCCAGTTTCCGAGCCTCTACTTTCTGCACTTAGCCACTACCGAGCTGTGGCCACCACCTGTCGGGATGCTGTGGAGAGGAGACCAGAACTGGTATCCGGGGAGGCGCCTGCCCCCAGACGGGCCTTTAAACCTCAGTCAAGGCACATTTATTCTAAACACATGGTCAATAGGAAATATGTTCGACTTTCTATTTGAGTTACTCTATCAATACATTAATCATTTAGACCATTTGAGATGTACATGGGTGCGTACAGATAACATCTCCCAGACTCCCACTCACAGGCTCTCTGCCTGCGTGACTATGTTCTTTGAATGAGAGAAGCCACACAGGCAAGTCTACAACCTCTGTCACTAAAATCGATCAGCCTTTTTAAAAAAAAATTTTTTTTTTCTTTATTGATGTTAGAGAGAAAGGGAGAGAGAGAGAGAAAGAGAGAAACATCAGTGAGAGAGAACATCGATTGGCCGCCTCCTGCATGCCCCCCACAGGGGACCAGGCCCACAACCTGGGCATGTGCTCTGCCTGGAAATTGAACCGGTGACCTCTTGGTTCTTGGGTCAATGCTCAACCACTGAGCCACAGCAAGCAGCCAGGCCAACTTCAATGGTAATCTCAACAAAACCATCCGCAATCCACATTTTTGTAGAAAATTCAACATTAATCCTACATTTTCTCCATTGAGAGAAAACTTTTAACTTAGAAGAGAGTTATCTAGTGCTCATACATGCCTTGTCTTAAGAGGGCCCCGCAGGCCAAATGCTCGCAAAGCCTTCCTGTAACAGAGGCCTGCTAGCACTCAATTCAGCTGGGTTCTCAGCACTATTTATTCTACTGTTTCAAGATTACATGTTGAATGTGGTAATATTCTTCTCCTCAGAACAAGTGTCTAAGGTAACAAGGTAGTAATATACAAGATTTTTGCCTAAACAAATGGAATATAGATAACACTTAAAAAGCAAAAATAAATTAAATGGTTTGCCCTAACTTGACTAATTCATTGCCACTTTATGTTTTCCTTTGCTATAATGTCATTCCAGGAAAAATTAGTGCTCTTTTTTTTTTTTTTTTTGTTAATCCTCACCTGAGAATATTTTTCCATTAATTTTTAGATAGAATGGAAGGGAAGGGGGAGAGACATCGATGTGAGAGAGACACATCAATTAGTTGCCTCCTGAGAGACCCCAACTGGGGCCAGGGATCAAACCCAAAATCCAGGTACATGCCCTTAACTAGAAATCAAACCTTAGACCCCCCCCCCCGGTCCACGGGTCGATGCTCTAACCGCTGAGCCAAACCAGCCAGGGCAAACTTAGTGTTCTTAATTCACACAAAACCATTGTAAGTCAGAGAAAATGAGAAGATACATATATTTTTTTAAAAATCACAAGCATTATACCCATCTTCAATCTATCTACCAATTTTGGTCTATAAAGTCTTCATGTTCACTTTACCCTATTCACACATTTCCTCACTGTGTCTTACCCGTGATGTGTCTCCCTCCTGCTTAATCATATCCATTCCAGGCAGCTGGTTTGGGAAAAGGCTGCCTCCCCTCAGAGCAGGATCATTAACCTGAAGGCAACAAGACAGGACAGTAGCTATTTTACTGGGCTGTCCAAAAGTGTAGGGGGGAACAACCAACCACCAACCATCCTCTTGTTGGATTTTAGCAGTAAAATGATGGGGAAACATGACTATGTAAAAATGGCCACAGTCCTCTACTTATCCTCCCACATATATATTTTGGGGGGGGGGGGGGAATGGAGAAACAGGAAAAGAAATACTTGTAATATACTAGCTGCCCTTAAATTGAATTTTGTTTTCATTCTATATAGAAAGAAATACAATAGAGATGATCATACTAGAAACACTTTCATGTCATATCTTCACTTTTCTGGGCTGAATTAGATCAGGCACTTATATTTGGGACTTCAAAATCATCTGCGAGGCTCCTCACATCCTTCTTACCCGGGCAAATTACTGATTAGCCAAAGTCAGTGTGAATACCTAAAACAGAGCTGAATTTGGGGAATCTTCCATGACTAAGTTAGCATTTGTACAAGGTCTTTTGCAAATTACAAAGTGAATGTACAAATGCTGAAAGAAGATTGCTTTTGTCATTAGACACACACTACAACGTCTTTTGGGGGCTTCCTAAATAATTGTGGTATTTGAAAGGCTGAAATCCATGCAGAAGTGTCCCAGTGACCTGGACTGTCACAGACGCATCAGCTTACACTTGGGCGGGTTGAGGAGGACCCACACTGGGCTAGATCATCCCAGCAGCCCTCACTGTACATTTCCCTAGAAGCAAATCAGGAACCACTAGTGGCCCATTTTTTTAGATAACTGAACACCAATACTATAATTTCCTCTTTGAAAAATCTATATTATTATTACTCATGCATAGAGCTTTCTTAAATTGCAAAGGGCTTTAAATGTTCTCATGTACCAGCACACATTTTTATTAATATCTTGTTATAGAATAAAACACTGACGCACTGCAAAATTCAGTCAAGTTTCAGTCACTTGTGGTTTAACAACTTCAGAATTAAATAGACCTAGTCCAGCCTGGCTGGTGCGGCTCAGTGGATGGAGCATCATCCCATGAACCAGAAGGTCCTGGTTTGATTCCTGCTCAGGGCACATGCTGCACAGAGAGCAGCCAATCAACGTTTCTCTCTCACGTCAATATTTCGTTCTCTCTCCAAAAAAAAAAAGAAGCCGATAAAAAAAATATAATACACTTAGTCTATCTTCCATTCTCACAACTGTGATCTAATTGAAATTTACAGTGCTGTCAATGACTTACTGGTTAAGTCATTTAAACTTTCCCTGCCTCAATTTCTCCGTATATGAAACACAACTCAGGGTCCTCACCACATCTATACTTAGAATGAACTACTGAGGTGGCAGATGCCTGGTATTCCATGCCCTTTACCAATAAGATTTTCTGTAAACACAATCTAAAGATTATTAACCTCTGGATCAGCCCGGCACAGATTTTTGAGTCCCAGGCTGGCTACCTGAAATATCAGATGCTTTGAGTCTCTTTCCCACTAGTGAAGCTGGTGTATATTCAGGGGTGGTAATACTGTTTCAATGTTATTAAACACAAAACAGAATCATTAAGAAAAATACTGACAAAAATTCATGGGATCCACATCTAAAGATGACAGAACTAGTGCTGAGTCACCTGTATCAGTCTCCCTGCATGAGTGAAGTATCATTTAAAGGTAGGTAGTTTGGCCTATGATTCACCTTGTTTTACATTTAGGGGAAAAAAAAAATCAGTTCTTAAACTAGAAATCCAAATAAAGTTATTTAGAAAGCACACTCACCATTCCATGTTTAGAGATTCGTTTTAGCTATTGCTAAATTTCTCAAATAAGATAAAAATTTAAATGACAAGAAAGTTAAGAAATGTTTTAAAAGATGCTTGTGCAGTCAGGAATCCTTTCATGTGTATTTCATCATTAATAGGTGTTCCTGTTAATCACATTAACACAGGTGAAAAAAACACTTCAAAATAAATGTGGGAGTTCACAGCAGATGCTGAGTACATGGCAAGATACACTTAATGTAGAAATAGACAGAAAGTTATGATTAGAGGACAAGGGCTCCTTGGGGTGCTCACCTGCTCGGGACCCATGGAGGACAGCCCCGACGTAGGCACGGAGGTCACTGAGGTCATGCTGATCTGTCCTGTCATCTGGTTCATGTTGCTCATCCCACCTGTGTTGGTCGCCATGGATACATTGATGTTCATATTGTTGTTGTACATGCTGGTGTTTGCTTGCTGCCCGAAGTGCGGCGGGGACTGCTGTGAAAACATGCTAGAATGCAACGAGAAGATGAACACGTCAGCGCCCCAGCGCAAACAGGCAGGCCGTCTTGAGCACTTGTTCCTCAGGCATTTCCTTCCGAGTGAATAGATGTAGGCAGAGAGCGCCCAGGAGGGCCAGCCAGCAGCTGCTGAGATCAGAAACAGCAGGGCTTGGAGTGCTCAATGAAGCTGCAGGGGCGACCACAGCAGCATGGAGGTCTGGAAATCCCTTCCCCACTCTGTCTGTCCCAGACAAGCTTTGTGGTGGTTCGCTTTTATTACACGTACTGTCATGTACTGTCAAGGAGGGCTTCTAGGGCACTGCCTTCTTCAGCAGTTTCTCTCATAAACTGGTGGGGTGCTACCTTTTACTTTTACTTCCAAGGAAAATATTTCATAATAAGCTTTAGTAACCTGGCTTACTTAGCAGTTTACTTCACAGTGCTTGCTTGTGCAAAGGAGTAAAAAAAACCACAGCAAGGACTTCCGGTCTACAGAAAGATTCCCTGGTGATCGTTGTATCAAAAAGACACAGAAACACAGCATACCTGTTTCCACCCATTGTCCCCTGTGCCCATCCGTTCATGTCAGAGGAGGCCTGATAGGCTGGGTTGGCCTGGGTCTGCTGTAGCATGGGGCTCTGGGTGTGCGCCATTCTGGGTGACATCAGAGGGCTCTGGGGCGTGGTAGCCCCCGTGAAGCCAGGATCAGGTTGCTGACTTATTCCTTACAAAACAAAACAGAAATCCAAAGGACACTTAGTCTTATGGTGGTGACTTGGGGGAAAGAAAGAGAACATTCAAATTAAATACATAAAAAATTACTTTCAAATATCTGTTCACATACTGGTTAATTACATATATTTTAAAAAAATTTTAGGCTGAGATAAAATGCATGAAGGAAAAAAAATCTCTGCATCTTAATTCTCTACAGTAGTTATAAGAGTATTTTGGAACCATATTAACCATTACAGCTAGAAGTAGAGAGAGAGAAAATACTATTTTTCCCCATAACCCTTTCCAAATCAAGAATGGTCAAATATATATTTCTCTTTAACCTAAAATAATATTTACATTTTTATATGTTACTATAAGGACTCTTTCAAGTTTAAACAGAATTAAAGTTCAACTATACAGAAAAACTTTTTGTTGAATAACTTTTTGTTGAATTAATTTAAGTCATTCTCTATGAGACAGGTGCATTTTTACAACTACGAGCAACTGCGTTCACCATGAGCTTGTCTGTCTTCACCAAGGGCTCTGGGGGACTGCAGTGCTATCCAGGGTTAGCAAGGAAAAAAATTCAATGCAAGCTTCTTGTTCAGTTTAAAAGCAAATGGCATTTAGACTAAATGGAAAAAAACTTTAGAAGACTTTTCTAAATCATCAAAAAGGAAATAGAGGAAAAGAGTCTGAAACACAGGAGGCAACTTCTCAGAAAATTTCAGGGATATTAATTAAGGTAAGCAGGTTTCTGCTTCGAAGACATGCAAAACATGCATATTTAATTAACACTCAAAGTAGCTATAAAGGAAAAGCTGAAGATCACACAGGAAAAAGCTTCACATTATCTTTCTGTGTGTGTGTGTTTTTTTTTTTTAAGAAACAGGAGACATGAGTTTAAGCACCACAAAGACTTGATAGTTATTTATAGACAAAGCTAGCAAAAGATAGGGAAAGTTGTTTTGAACATTAATGTAAGCACTTTTATCAATAATTCAACTATTACTTAAACATGACATGCACACGAATATTAACATTTAGGACACTACACACTTGTCTCTTAGGCTGACATTAAACAACAAATCAATATGAAGAAAATGAAGAGGGCTTCCACTGCGGTTTCTATATAGCATTTCTCAAGGATCATCTATTTATTAAAGATTTGGTACAATCTTTATTTTTCAAAGTTGTAGAATGCGTCTAATATTTACACTTCTACATGTCTTTCAACATTTTGTGTATATCTATTGATTTGTTTGAGTCAGACTCAGAGGTTCAAATATAAATACATACATATCCACCTGTGTTTACAGACACAGACACAACATATAGATTCATACACACGCACACGCACAATTGGCAGATGGACTATACACACGCACACTTACTTCGGTCATTCTTAAAGTAAGACCTGCACTCAGAGAAAAGGTGGTACCTGAGCTGAGAGACTGGAAGGTACTGTGCTGGACTTGGGGACTCCTGACAGGCCCCAACTGTCCTCCCAGGTTTCCTATCATTCCCTGGTTAGCCAGAGTCCTCTGGGAGCCATGCAAAGAGCTGTGAGAGAGGAGCTGTGACCCAGGACTGGGGGGCACTGGGGAGAAAGGACTGGAGAAAGGTGGTGGGGATGTAAGTCCAGTACCGTAGTTTGGAGGAAATGGGAACTGCTGTGCATTTGCCTGGGGGATCCGGGGGTTGCTCATGGTTGCGGGCATACCGCTAGGAGCCACCATGCTTGATGTCATATTCAACCCCTGGCCTCTCATCATCAACGTCCTTTGCTGGACTTGCTGTTGCTGATGCATCTGTCTCTGCCGGAGATGCTGGTTCAGGATTTCCCTCTGTCTCTGGGCCAGCATCTGGGCATTGATAGGTGCCTGAAATGGGGCAACACAGGACAGAAAACATTGGAGACACAAGTTGAAAAACAAACTGTGTATTAGAAATAGGATAAAAAATGATAGTCTCATGCAAAATTATTTGGAAAATACATTTACATGGAAAGAACATTTTATTTATTTTATTAATACTCACCCGAGGATATTTTTCCATTGATTTTTAGATAGAGTGGTTCAGTGTTAATACCAATTAACCTGGGTCTCATGGCGAGAGGACAGTTAACTGAAGGACCTAATGATAATTCCAGTCCCATCTGTAAGAGGACTCTCATATCAACTTTGAGGATGGCCATTTAGTCTCATTCAAGGGGCATTCAGGTCCAAAGGGAAACCAAATCACTGGGGAAAAAGATGCTTGAAGCCCTTCAGAAAAGACTGAGTAGAGGCAGGAAGAGAGGGGACACTTAGGGAGGGACAGGTGAAGGGAAGAGACCCCAGCGCTTGTGGTCAGCAGGATGTATAAGGCCCTACAGCCAATCTTCATTACTGTGGAGTCTTCATCTGTGCACTTGCTTACTCACTGAACTTGACTCGTATCCCAAATCAATATTCACAGCACCGCCCTCACTTATAGACACTTGCAGAGTGGTGGAAAATTTGAGATGGCCTGTGCCTGTTTCCTCGCTTCTTGTTCTCACTCTCACATTGCAAACAAGTGTCCTTTCTGTGGGCTACTTAGTTTCCCATTTTCACATTGCTGTACTTTTTGTTGGTGATCCTGCCTTTACAAAGGGCTCCTGAGAATAGTGCTGGAGCGCTGGGTGCGTTCCTGAGCACACGAGGCTGGGATGGGCCTTACGGAGAAACTGCGTGTCAGATGAATTACAGGACTAGTGGCCATGAGTTCAGTGTTAATGAATCAACAATATATATTAAATAAGTTGTTTTCAAATGGAAACACACCTAAAATAAGGCTATGTATTGCTAGATTGCTGAAAATGTTGTGACCAGAGGCTTGTAGGGACCTAACCCTTTGTTCCTCCTAGGAGCAGTGGTTCAGTATCCGCTAATTCTGTACTTGCAGTAACTTTATGGAACACAACATGTGAATATCGGAAAATCCACTGTTACCAGCAACAACCATGGCAGCAATTCGGAGGAACCACAAAAGCGACACCTAGATAGATGACTGAATGACATTACAGACTCACTGTGATCGTTGGATCATATGGAGTCTAAGTTACTTTACACGGGACATCAAGGGGAGAATGGACACAGCAAGAGCTGGTGGCTGGGCTGCTCCTTACCTGTGTTGGTACTCCAGGCCTCAGAGTCAAGTTCACATTTGAAACATTGCTGATCTGATTCATAAGGGGCTGGCGATTCTAAATAGATACACAAAGGAATCAGGACATTTAAAACACACAACATGTTGTCTTTCAAATCACATTCCTAAAAAAATCGCCCTTACAACTTGACATGTGCATGCTGTTGGATACTGAAGCCCTGTGGTCTGCAGCTGGATTCCCATGAAAGCTAGTTTTGAATGAAGTGTCGCACTGCTTATAACTGGGAAATTATTCTGGACTGTTTGGAAAACATAGTTGGCAAGGGAGAAAGGGAGGAGAATGATCAGAAAAAGAGGCCAAGAGGAAGACTAGAAAAAGGCAGGTGCTCATCACTCAGAACGAAGAAAGGAGATCTGAAAGCCTGTAACATTATTACTTGCTGTATTACAGAAACCTGTCTTGGCTTGCTGCTGACAGTAACTATTTTTGTCATGAGATAGGACTCATGACAGGAGCAGCTGGTGTCCTAAATGATTGTTTTGGGCTAGAAACTGTGCTAGGTCCCTTTAACATACACACACTGCCCTGTACTGTACAACAAGCCCACTTTACAGAGTGAAAATTGAGGCTCAGAGAGCTCAAGGATAGACTGTTAGTAAGTAATGGAGTTAGGGTATAAAAGGACAGCTGCTCTGTACTGGAGTTAGTGGAAGAGAAAGAAAGGAAGTAGAAAGGAGTATGAAAATTGTAGGACCGTCTGAGAGAAGTTTTTACCCTCTTAGAAAACATGGAATGACTTAAGCCATCCAAAGGCAAAGGACACACGACTGTTGCACCACCTGACACCAGCTTCCTGTGCCCCCCCGCCCTGCCTTCCAGGCGCCCACAGAGAACATACTTGCTGTGCTTGGAGGCGATGCTGCAGTTGAAGCCTCAGTTGGTTCGGCTGGTTCTGCACCAGGCCTGTGGGCCTGAGGCCGGGTCTGGGCTGCATGCGGAGTGTGGCGTAACTGGGCCGCTGCCCCATGCTGTGGAAGTTTGGGTCTTGCATGGGAGAATAGCTCCCCTGGGCCATCTGTGCCTGAGACGCGTACTGCTGGGGGAAGACGGGTGCCTTCTGCTCCAGCATCATGTTGGAGTCCTGACCCGAGAACTGGTCCGGATCTACTGCTTGGCTCTGAAGAGGAAGCCCCAAGGAACAAAGAAATAAATCCACTAAAAATAGCAGAGTAAATATAAGGTTGGTTTCTCTCCCTGTCAAAGATTTGAAGCGTTTTATACTGTACGCACTACACAAAGGTAATTTGAGCTTGACTTCACGGGCGGCTTAGGAAAGCCTCTTTGTTCAAGAGCCCAGGTACGTGAGGAAGGAAGCAGGGGTGGGGTGGGGATGGGGGTCAGGCCTGACTCCCCCTGTCACTTCCTCCAAGGGAGGGACACATGGACCATACCTACGAATGCTGCCTACTCACTCCACCAATCAGAGACCGACCTGGACTTTAACTGTGCATGTTTCAAGTTTTCTGACAGATTATTCATTATCTGTGTAATTCATTTCATTTTTTTTGTTAATCTTCACCGGAGGATATTTTTCCATTGATTTTTTTTTTTTTTTTAGCTAGAGTACAAGGGAGGGAGGGAGAAAGATAGACAGAGAGAGAGAGAGAGAGAGAGAGAGAGAGAGAGAGAGAGAGAGAGACATTGATCGGTTGCCTCTCACATGACCCACACTGGGGCTGGGGATCGAACCCGCAACCCAGGTAAGTACCCTTGACCGGGAATCAAACCTGAGACCCTTCGGTCTGCAGGCCACTGGGCCAAACCTGTCAGAGCTATATAATTCATTTTAATGAAACAACCACCTTGGTATCTAGCTGGGATCAGCAGTGTTGGGGTTTCTACCACCATTACTCCCATTTTGCAGAAAATAAAACAGACTTGGAGACATGAAGCAAATTGCGAGAAGCCTAGCTAGCTAGTAAGCAGTGGGTTCCAATCCATGTGTGACTGAGGACCTGAGCTCCTCACCAGTATGGCACACTACTTTCCTTGATCTGTTTTCTGTGGCTGTCAGAATTTCCTACACACCTCACATTTTGCCACCATCTGATTACCTACTAGACATATTTAATGTGTTTGTCATTGTTGACAAACTATCTATCTGGGTCAGAGTGGGGGAGGTGTAGACCCAGAACTTCTCCAAGGGGAACAGCTCAAACCCAGGTGGCCCTACATGTCCACGTGGAGAGCAGAAAGGTATGCCTGGCCAATCCTCCTCTTCCTTCTCCTTCTAGGAGGAATTGCTATAAACTCCTGATAAGTAGGAGGGAAGGGCCACCAGCATAAACATTGAGGAGGTTTTCTTTAGCTTAGTAACATCCTAGACTTCCTTAAACCAGCCTATCCACCTTGGAGCAGGGACCTGAAGTCACCCAGGATTCAGATCAGTGTGGCCCTGAGGTTGGCTTGTAAGAACTGGGCACATTACTGCCCCATGATAACTTTTTTTAATCCTCACCTGAGGATATGCTTTTCACTGACTCTAGAGAGAGAGAGGAAGGGAAAGAGAGAAAGAGAGAGAGAGAGAGAGAGAGAGAGAGAGAGAAATCGATCGGTTGCCTTTTGCATGCACCTCAACTGGGAACTGAACCTGCAACCTGGGTATGTGCCCTGACCGGAAATTGAACCCACAACCTGGTGCACAGGATGATGATCCAACCAACCAAACCACACTGGCCAGGGCCCCATGATAGTTTTGCAAATGTGGATGAAGTCTATCTATATGGGGGAAACCATTCATTGTTGAATTACTGCTGTAACTAAATTCTCAAAACTATCTCAGAAGTTTAGATATTTGCCCATCTTTAGCCCTGGCTGGAGTGGCTCAGTTGCCTGGGCATCGTCCAGTTCACCAAAAGGCTGTCGGTTTGTTCCTGGTCAGGGCAAATGCCTGGGTTGCAGCTCTAGCCCAGTAGGGGGCATGCAGGAGGCAGTTGATGAATGTTTCACTCTCACATCAATGTTTCTCTCTCTCTAAAAATCAATATAAATAAAAATATTTGCCCATCTTTAATAGAGAGAAAATGTAATTAAGTAATTTCCATTTTCAAAGAAAGCACAGTTCTGATGAGTACAAATCAAGTCCACTAGTACTTCACATCTCTCCTGACTCCACCTAATAACCACATTTCCATAATTCAGTTTAATCTGATATAATGATGGATTGATGAGACAAAATAGAAATAATGCAAAGAAATGGAAAAAAGGAGACTAAAATATTGAATGATGAAATGACACCAGTTTTGATAAAAACAATGCTCTCAACAACCCCAAGGTTCACATTTTTAAATGTCATTTAGATAAAACTGAAGGACAACAATACTGAACACTGAATTCTAACTACCACCCAAGGCAGAGCAAGCCAGCCACACAGGAAATATTAACTCCATTTTCCTTTCTTGATTTATTTCAGGTTATATCATGTAACCTCAAGTCATTTCTTTCCAATCTGCTGTTCTCAGTATGAATTGACAAGTCTGAACTCCCACTATGTCTGCGAATTGTGGGGACTATGACGAGACTATTTTTAATGCTTCAGAGAAGTCTCCAATGACTGCATCACCTTCATCACAGACCCTACCAACACATCAGATGTCCAAGAAGTTGACTGGACCCTGGGAGGTACTTTTTAGTAATAAGAAACAAAGATGACTCATGCTGAAGAGAGGAAGACAGAGCACGACTGGGATGGTTTTCTAGGTTCCTCCTTATACAGTAAACCAGGAAGGTCGTCTCACGCAAATTTAGCTGGGTGACTGGATTCAGAAAGTATTTTGTTATTTCTTGAGATTGTGTTAGGTTATTTATTATATCACTGCTATAAAGTACTCTTATAGCAGGGACTTATTTCGAGTAACCAACTAATTACCAGGAGGAGAAAGCTAAGTACACTAAGATTGGTTAACTTCTTTATATTGCCATGTCTGCTTATATATCCCAAAAACTGTTGTGAGCTAAACCCAAGCAAAGGTCAAAATGATGAATGAACTACAACAATCTCTAAAATGACTTCTGTTCACATATGTGCAAAGTCTTGCTTGAGAACAAACAGCTTCCTTTCACTAGCCCACAAACATAAGAATAACATGGTGAGCTCGGACACTATTTCAGGTGAAAGCACTCGAGGTCAGCGGGGCAGCAATGCTCACCCTGGGTCGATGCTCCTGCGTGTCCCTCCCTGTCATTAGGTGAGCTGCACCTGAGTTTCTGCCTTTCAGCGTAATAGCCCAAATTCTATGTAAAGCTGATTTCCAAATTCTTGGGCCAGAGTTTATGTGGGAGGAACAAGGGGTGGGGGTGGGGGGAAACAGAGCCAGTTTGGTAAGAGGTGAAAAGGTATTCTAAAGAGCAGACTGCAGATTATTTGTGAGCAAAAGGAAAGAAACATCTTCATGTCCATGAGACGCTCGGCCCCGCTGGCTTCTGCCCACACATACCTGGCTCACCAGCTCGGGTATTCCCAAAGCTCTGTCAATCTCCTCCAGGCCATCGAAGTTCCGCAAGGCCAAGTAGAGCTGGTCCAGGAGAGCACCTTCATCACTCGGAGACTCCGCTGCAGGGTGTGGGCATAGCAGGTCATCTGGAGAGCTGCCAAATGGCTGCCTGCAAAGACACACACCTCACCATGGGCCTGTGGAAAAGCTAGTGATTGTAGAACATTTTTTTCTTTAAGGACAACAGTATCGGTTGACTTCCAGGGTCTTTGTAGCAAAATACTGTACCAGCCGGACACAGAACAAAATGACAACCCAAAAGAGCAGATACAATGAACACAGACCTATTGAGTCCAGGGCCCACCTGAACATATGTCCCACAAGTGAATGCTGACTCCTCAAGCACATACACATTTACTGTGCACTGAAGTAACCAAGGACTTTCCTGACCTTTCCTGGGACAGACTGAGCGACCGAACAGTTTTATTTCACAGGAGGCTGTGCTGACACACCTGGGAGACTACAGCATGACAGGCATACAAGCCACGTGAATTCTTGAACTCAGCAGCCACTAGACTCGACTTGAGTGGACTAATAGGAACTTTCTTAGTCGTGCATAAGTAGGACTTAGAAACATTTCTGAAAGCCTTTCTGAGTTAGTTACCAGAAGCTGATCATGAACATGCAAATTATGTGTTATTCTATAAGCCAACAGGTGAGAAAACCATAAAATGAACTCCAAACACTATAGTATATAAAACTCCTGTAATTTAAATTAACTGATTAATTGGTGGAGATTTAAAAAAAGAGCGCCTGAGTTACTTTAATACCAAAGGGGAGACGATACTTTTTGCCAAAATAGTCTAATTTGTATCCTTAAAAATTATTATATGATGTTTTGAAATAAGTTCACAGGTAACTAACTTTATCTTTAAGTGAAAATAGATTCACCAAGGGAGGAAGTTGCCTATTTAGCCCAGTTTAATACCCATGTTTTCTGAAGACAGCTTAATATGCCACATTGGCCTAGAATCCTGAAATCCTGGGATGGTTATTATGAAAGCCAACAATATCAAACAGTTACAACAATACAGTGCATTAAAAAATAATCTAGAGCCCTGGCCAGTTTGGCTCAGCAGTTAGAGCGTCGGCCTGTGGTCCAGAGAGACCCGGGTTTGGTTCTTGCTAAGGGCACGTACCTCGGTTGCAGTTTGTCCCCGGCCCTGGTTGGGTTGTGTGGGTGGCAGCCACTCGATGTGTCCCTTTCACGTCGATGTTCCTCTCTCTCTCTGTCTTCCTATCTCTCCCTCCCACTCTATCTGAACAAAAAAATGAAAAAATGTCCTCAGGTGAGGATAAAAAAATAATAATCTAGATTCTCCATTGATCCCTAGTTACTTGAAAAGAAAACTCACCCAGTTAAATGTCCCTCAATGACACCCTCACCTGCTGTCTCCAGCTCCAAGCCTGCAGTCCCGCTGCCTCCAGGGCATCGTGACCAAGCAGCGCAGCCACACGCACGCACCGGCCACTCCGGCACGCTGCAGACTTCCACCAACACTCGGAAGCTCTGCTCTCACTCCGGGCTCTTTCTACACCTGCCTCTTCTCCCCACCATTGCCTTGGCTCTTGGTAAACACCAGGGGCTGAAATAGTTCCCCCACTGTCCTGCCACACCTTCCCAGAACTCAAGTTTAAATACAAATGTGATTGGCTCACTTCTCCACTGCTACTTAGGGAGGGGAGGGTGGAGCAGACAGAAAAGCGGCAACAAGGAGAAAACCACAGGACTGCATGTCACTGAGGCAAAGGCAGGAGGAAATTCCCCAGAGTAGCGGCCAACATTTGGATATGGTAAATTTCATGCAAAAAGAGCTCATGTGAGCCAAGAGTGGATGTTGTCTATGTACCAGGTTCTCTTAGGCTGAGACCTCATTCCCCAAAGATGCCAGTCAAGTGAGGCATCCAAGTATTTTCTTTGACTAGCTTTATTTCATAATTTTCAACTTCTGTTTTTGCCGAGTGTTCATTCCTATATGCCCACCCCCAATCTCTCCACTGGTGACAGGCTCATGTGAAATCTACTCTCTCTTTTAACGCCAGCAAGGCCACTCAGTTCCGCATGAACCCAGACTCTACAGAATGAGTCCGAAGGAAGGGGAGGCTGTCTCCTACCTTTGCATGACAACTGCACCCTAGTAAAGACATACCCAAATTCTTAAAGAAAAAAACAAAACAAAGAACGATGCAAATATTAACTTGCATTTAAACAATTTTCTAGTATTAAAACAACACATTTGTGTTACATGCTTTCTGTTTCTTTTTTTTTTTAAATAGGTTTTTATTGATTGAGAGGGAGAAGAATGAAGGGGGAGAGAGAAACATCGATGCAAGAGACACACTGATTGGCTGCCTCCCGTGCATGTGCCCCAACTGGGGCCGGGGATCAAACCTGCAACCCAGGTACATGCCCTTGAACGGGAACCAAACCCTGGTGCGCAGGCCGATGCTCTATCCACTGAGCCATACCAGCCAGGGTTGTGGCTTCGTTTTCTAAAATTGGGCACACTATAAGTCATATCACTTTCCTTAAAGACACCATACTATGGGTTGGCTTATAGAAAAAATATTGATCCAGACTACAAATCCCAACTTTACAAATGGTCACCAACATAATGAGGGAATTATTTTCTTACATTTGGGGTTATTACAAATATAGTTAGAATCCAGATGGTGACTGACACACATGTATAATACTAAAAAAAGAATAACATTCAGAGGAATAAAGAGATGAACACACACAGGCCAACATACCAAATTAACTCAGAAATTTTGTATTTAATGTAAAAGCAAGTCTTTTATGAAAGGCAGCTACTATATTTCAAGAAAAAACTCACTTTAAAAATCCAACAGAAATCTTTGAAAAAGTCATCTATACATTTTGGGCTGTATTTTAAATCTCTTTTACATACCAGATGAGTGAAGGAAAAACCCCACAATGGATATACAGAAAATGGAAATTCAGCTACAAATCAATGAGCATGAATATGTTAGAGATTTAAAGGCTAAACTACTGTCTTTTTGAAATGTGTACATAAACTAATGCTTGGTTCATAAAACACTGAAAAACCTATTCCTAAACAGTAGGCTGTAAAAATATAAAATAGTCATGGTGACACTTATAAAGGCAACTGTTCAAAAAGCACTGCTTTTTCTTTTCTTTTTTCTAATCCTTACCCGAGGATATTTTTCCATTGATTTTTACTTTTTTTTAATAACTTAGTTTATTGATTTTTTAGAGCAGAAGGGAGAGAGAGACAGAAACATCAATGTGAGAGAGAAACATCAATTGGCTGCCTCCTGCATGTCCCCTACTGGGGACTGAGCCTGTAACCCAGGTATGTGCCCTTGACTGGGAATCAAACCTGAAATTCTTTGGTCCACTGACTGATGTTCTAACCACTGAGCAAACTAGACAGGGCAGCACTGCTTTTCCTTTATTTAAAAAGAGAGATGATGCCCTGGCCGGTTTGGCTCAGTGGTTAGAGCGTCGGCCCGCGGTTCAGAGAGACCCGGGTTCAGTTCCCGCTAGGGGCACGTACCTCGGTTGCAGTTTGTCCCCGGCCCCGGTTGGGGTTGTGCGGGAGGCAGCCACTCGATGTGTTCCTTTCACGTCAATGTTTCTCTCTGTCTCTCTCTTCCTCTCTTTCCCTCCCACTCTGTCTGAGCAAAAATGGAAAGGTGTCCTCGGATGAGGATAAATAAATAAATAAAAAGAGAGATGTTGTTATAACCTCTGTTACCCATCACCTCTGAGGTTCTATGACAATAAGATTAGCATAAAGTAAGTCATAAATTTCTTCCAAACTAAATTATTTAAAATAAAAGAAGTGAGATGAGTGGCTGATAAACTGAAATAACTTTCTTCAAAAAAAATTTTTTTTCTTTATTGATTTTAGAGAGAAAGAAGGGAGAGGGAGAGAGAGATAGAAACATCGATGAGAGAGAACATCAGTTGGTCACCTCCTGCATGCCCCCCACTGGGGATTTGGCCCACAACCTGGGCATGTGCCCTGACTGGGAATCAAACTGGTGACCTCTTGGTGCAACCACTGAGCCACACCGGCCGTGCTTTCTTTTTTAAAAAAATATGTTTTTATTAATTTCAGAGAGAGTAAGGGAGAGGGAGAAATAGAACATCAATTGGCTGCCTCCCGCAAATCCCCCCTACTGGGGATCAAGCCTGAAACCTGGGAATGTGCCCTGAGCGGCACTCGAACCTGTGACCTCTTGGTGCATGGGATGACACTCAACCAACTGAGCCACACCACCGGTGGGGCTGAAATTACTTTCAAAGTAGTGAAAATTTTGTTTCGTTAACACAGTTCTTAGACGCAGACAGCTGACAGTAACCAAGGCAGCAGCAGGCCTCACTCAGTTCCAGAACCGGCATAGCACACTGAACAGCTCACTCTGTAATCAGACTCAGCAAAATCCAGAATTTCACCTTTTTTTTTTAACCAAACCCGGGACTCTCTGGTCCGCAGGCTGATGCTCCAACCGCTGAGCCAAACCGGCCAGGGCAGAATTACACTTTTTTAGACAAACAAACAAATACAAAAAAACCCCAGAACTGTCATCTGTTTGGGCAACAGTGAAAATCTTAACTTTGGGCTTAGTTTTCCCTAGAAACTCATCTTTCACATTTCATTCAAAAACAACTATCAAGTGCTGGATTTAATTATTGTACTACATTTTTATTACGAGCAAGTTTCCATGGAAATGGGTAGGTTTTTAACATATCAAATAAATATATTCAGAAAAAGCGTAACACTTCCTGACACCATGAAAGTAAGACTCAGAAGCTGGAGGGACCTGGGAAAGCCCTGCTTCCACGAGACTGCAGTGCTTCCTCACGTGCGCTCCAGTCCCCAGCGAGCCCCTGGGAGCCAGCCCAGAAACAGCCAGAAAGCCTGACTGAGGTTCGCCCTGTCTGTCCCTCCAGCCTCACTGCTACTCCAGGTGCAGTCGGGAGGACCAGCGGTGCTGGCACCACCTGGAGCTTGTTGGAAATGCAGACTCCTGGGTCCCACCCAGACCCCGGAGGTGGTTCACAGGCACAGTGGGTTTGAAAACACTCATTTCCCCCAAGTGAATGGAATATAGCTGGCGAGCACCCTTCCTTCTTTATCTCCCTAAGGCAGTTATTAAGCAGTTCCCCTAATCTTTTCTTTCAGTGAAATAACCAGCTTCCTATTTTTCTCACCAATCCTATTGCTGGGCTATTTCTTTTAAACATCACTGAATCCTCTGACTCCTTTACTACTTCCTTAACATACAGAAAGGAAAATGGGCACCACACTGCAACTCTGAGCTGTGCAACCCCAGCTATGACAAGAGCATGACATCCCAGAGTGGGACTCACTCAGAAATTTGTATTTTTAAGCAGTTCTGGAAATGTAGTCTACTTTTGTAAAGTTTCAGAAACCCTGTTGACTTCCATCATTGTGAGTTTGATAAGAGTGTTATATAATTTTAGACTAGAATAATCCCAGAAGAGCATGAACACTCAGTCTGCAGAAAGGCCTTCACCCAACTCTTTACATATGAACCTCAAGGCCCAATTTCTCCAGTTTAAGTTTTCTAAGAAGTTTACTTCCTGGAAAGGAAGGCCTGCATGCTGCACTTTCCCACACTGCTTCTCGCTCAGGCCCCTAGCCACCTCCCTGCCATGGGGCTCCCGCCTAACCGGCTGAGCAGTGCGATCACTTGGGCCTCCAGGGCTCCTGTACAACATCAGCCTCTATGCTCTGCTCAAAACCAGTGAGATCATGCAGTAACACAACTGTGATGTTGCCTTTGCCAAGAATAACACAAAACAAAAAAACACCCATGAGCAGAAATTTGGACATCCCCTGAGCCACAGGTGACAGGTAGGTTTTTATCCATAAAGCACAGGAAAGTCAAAGAGCTACCCTGAGACTGCTGGACTGAGCTGAGGGACCCTGGAGTAGACCCAATAAGTAGTGACCCCACTCCTGGCAGAGACCACTGCAAATTCTCTTAAGGAAAGTGTCCTCAATTTCAACCCCAGATGTTTCATTGACTGAGATTAGTTATGAACTCCCAATGAAAGATTACCAAAGTACTCAGGGAAACAGATCAATCACTAGATTTAGAACTTCAAGAAATCCAGATATTGAAATTATTGAATACAAAATTTAGAAAATAATGATTAATGTAATGTTTAAAGATATAAAGATAAAAATCACAAAAATAAGCAAACAAAAAGAGGCCATAAAAAAAAAAAAACAGGCAAATAAAACTCTTAGAAATGAACAACATATACCAAACACCAAGTAGTATCAATAAATGAATCTATACCTAGACACATTGTAGTAAAGCTAGAACACAGCAAATACAAGAAATTGTTCAAAAGCAATTAGAAAGAAAAAAATCACCTATAAGAAAATGATTAGAATGATAACCATAACCAAAAAATCTCAATAAATTTGGCCATATACCACATCCTTTTCCAAAAAATTATTTCAACAGCTTAATGTACAAAGTCTGCATTTTGCAGTTTGGTATTTAGATTGACAGATCTACTCTTCTAGCTAAATCTTCTGACAGTGCCTTTTATTTGTTTCCAATGTGGCAAAATATATGAAATAGAAAACTAGATGATTTTCTGTTACCATAAACATACTGTGTTGCTTTATAACATCTAGTCCTCTGACTACACTGCCCCTGTCAGATGTACTGGCTTCCTGCCATCTCTGCCTCCTGAAATGATATCTTTCCTTCACAGCCTTGAAGCCTTTCCCAGTCACCTCAATTGATGATCTCTTGAAAAATGGTTTATTTCTCTTATGGCATTTAGAGTGCACATTACCACACATTATAGCTATTAGCGTATATATTCTATTTTCCAAGAACACTGTAACTTCTTTAAAGGCATGCTCTAGGTCTAACTGAGTTTTGGATTTCCCTCTCCCCTATATGCCCTGCCCAGTAGACAATGCAGTTTGAATACATGAAAAGTGGTCAGGCACCAATTATTAAAAGAAAAAGACTGACTTCTGGCACAGCATGTATCAAATAATGCAGAGAACTAAGGAAGCAGCTCTCCTGGACCTCCTGGGGGCTCAGGACTCACCTGCTTTGGCTGGCAAAGGAGGCCTGGTCTATCGGCAGGATGCTCTCAGGCCATGGGGCCGTCTGGTTGGGAGGAGCTTGTTGTTGACTATACTGGGGCCCCCCCATGTTCATCTCTAATTCAGATGGCCCTAAAAAAGGAGAAGAAAAAAATATAAAAATCTTACAACTTGTAATCAGGGAAGTATCTATTTCTGCTATGTAATGCAAAGCAAAATATCTGGTTTTTAGAAAATGAAAAAGACAGAATGAACAATAATCAGGTGAAAATAATAAGACACTTTTTGTTCTGATACAGAAAAAGGCAATAACTATCAAGGCTAATCACCTGCTTCAGGAACTGTCTAGGGTAACAGCTCTATACCTCTTCTTGCCCCTAGGACCCTCTATATTCTGTCAAAAAAGATTTTGTGTATGTGGGTTGTGTCTTATTAATATTTATTGTATTGGAAATGAAAACTGGCAAATAGAAAAAAATTATTACTTCATTTAAACATCATCATAATAAATCCACTATATATTAACACACACAAAAATTTTTTTTTAATCTTCACCCGAGGACATTTTTCCACTTTTTGTTCAGATAGAGTGGGAGGGAGGGAGAGAAAGAGAAACATCGACGTGAAAGGGACACATCGAGTGGCTGCCACCCGCAAGACCCAACCAGGGCCTGGGACAAACTGCAACCGAGGTATATGGCCCTAGTGGGAACAGAACCCAGGTCTCTCTGGACCGCAGGCCGATGCTCTAACCGCTGAGCAAAACCAGCCAGGGCACAAAATTTTTTTGAATAGAAAAAAGACACCTTTTACGGGCATTGTTTCACATTTTTGCAAATCACTTTAATGTCTAAATTAATATAAGACAGCCAGAATCTCCCATCTGCTTCCACATTCCATGTATCCATGAGAAAACGAGTGAGGAAGAAAACATTTTTAGAGGTTTAAGGCTAATCGATAATATGAGCTTTTAAAAATTTTATTGTTATCATTATCCGTAGACCTGTCTTCCATTACAACAGATTTCCTGGCTTTTTAAAAAGTTTATTAAAAACTGAAAAAATTCAGCTACACCAAAGCTCATAGAGCCATATTTCAAGCTCAAAAGCCAGGTGAGGTACCCTTCAGTAAAGAAAGACTGAGAACAAATTAAATGTCTGGATAAAACGTATTTATTGTGATGATTTTTAAATAAAAGAATGTTTTAAAACATTTCCCAGTTTAATTTTGCATGAAATTCTGGTCATTTTTAGCATTTTTCATGCCCGCCTCAAATGAAATGAATTTGTTTGGGAACCACTCATTAACTCGAAGTACATTCTCTGTAGAAAGGTGACAGAAATGTCATCTCTCAGAAATAATAACCCCAAATGCACTGAGCAATTAAGGAGCTGGTTAAGAAAACTGATGCCAGCGGTGGAATGAGAAGTCTGCATTATCTCCTCAAAACAATCGTGGCCCCTTTCCTTCAATCCTTTAGCTCTTACTCACGGCACAGTATCCAAGTATATGAAACAGTACATAAACATGAGCTTATCTGAGTTATGCTAATGTACAAGGTAAGAGGAAGGTTAATAGATCAATGATTAAGAAAATAATCTTGAGTATGAGCTACATAAACCACTAATTTTTTATGAATTTTTAATAATGGCTTTATTGAGATGTAATTCACATAGCAGACAACTCACCCATTTAAAGTGTACGATTCAGTGGATTTAGTATATTTGCAGAGTTCTATAACCTCCATGACAATCAAGTTTAGAACATTCTCATTCTCCCCAAAAGAAACCCAAAGTGTGACCAACCATTAGGAGTCAGACCCCCTCTCCAGACCCCCAATCCTAGGTAAACACTAATCAACTTTTTTTTCTCTACAGATTTGCCTATTCTGGAAATTTCATATAAATGGAATCATACTGGACCATTAATTTTAAAAACATGAATTGTATCCAAAAGAATTCCACTGATCCTCACAATCTGTGACATGTTCGCTAAGACTTGCACCTTCAGCCAGGACCCAGGAGAGTCTGGTTTAATAGTGGAGGGCAATGGCCCAGGAACCTGCATTTGAAAGTCCTGAGATGATCCTGATGTCCACCCAGAGCTAGGCACCACACTGCTGCATCACTGAAATGCTTCTCCAAAATATACCATTTATAGTGGGACACTAATTCACTGCCCCTGAAAGCGAAAGTTGGTCATTTAATGGAAAGAAAACATCACAAAGGTAGTTGGTTCTGTTAATTAACTGAAAAATCTTTGAGTTTCTATATAGAGTTCCAGCAAAATCCCACTTAAGACAGCATGACCTGGGGGGGATCACCTAACCTGCGAATTTGGAGCTTGTCTTAAAAGAACTTCTGGAGCTGTCACTCTAAGAAAGCACAAAAGTTAAAAGCCAAGAACACTGAGCTACCTTACCTAGACTCATGACTTGAGACTGAAGCATCTGCCTTTGGCCAGGCTGGCTGCTGGGTCTCATGGGGATGCTGGCAGTTGGATTCCGAATCATACCTCCTTGGATTGGCCGGTTCATGGCGCTGGCGGTCGCAGCACAGGTGACTCGCACAGAACTCTGTGGTGCCCACTCCCCAGATGGCATAGTGGGCCGGGCAGTGTTACTACCTATCATCCCTGAAGGCAAGCCAGAGAAAACGGAGAGATGCAGGAAATGAAAACATACTCAGCACGTGTGAACACCAGATGATCTTACTCTGAATGAAATAATCAAGTCTGCAATACGCAGAGAGCCCAATAGCTAAGGCCCTCACTGGGGCAGACGTGGACCCTTGGCTAAGAAATAAGACTTGGCAATTACTATGAAGTTTTTTGCAACATGGACTTGCCACTCTTTATAGTTCGGAAAAGTTGTTGAAATTGTTCCCATATGTACTTAGAAACAGGTGCTGTGGCGTGTGGATAACCCCAACTTCCTTCCTCAGGAAGTGAATCACATTAGCTGATACACACGTCAATGCTTTACTTTCCAAGAGGGAGGTGAGGCTAAGAAGAACAAGGTAAAAAACTGATAATCAATATTCTAATTATAAACCAAAATCACAGAGAATAGCCCATGAAGCGTATGCCTATCTCTTTCAGAGTATTAACATTTGTTAAGCTTCGAAACTGTCCAGGGTAGCCTCTAATGCATGGGGAAATTACCAGATCTTTTTACTACAATTCTTATAGCCAAGGCCAGGGAACTCCTACTACTTCAATGTGCTTGGACCACCACATTCCTGATTGTAGATCTAGAATGGGTTAGGGCAGATTTGTAAAAATTCTTTTGTGCTTGAGATGTTAATAGCTAGTTGACCACATGTAACAACAAGAGCACAAGACTGGCAAGCAGGGCCGTGAGTTCACTCTCCCATGCCTGGCTCCTAGGATGCTGGCAACAGATAGACTTGCTAAGACTTGATATTCTAAAGGTTCTGGAAAAACCCCAAATGAGGACCCTTCCTTATGAAATATTTAATAATGGATATATAAAAGTTCTGCTTTCAGATACATGGCTTGCTTTCATTTACTTTAATTATAATAAACAACTAAAAACAGGTACATGTAAGAAACGACGAGGCCATGTATGGTGGGTGGCTTCCACTGGTGAAATGAGAATGCGCTCCATTACGATGACTAAGAGTGAAGAACATTTAATTAGACTGAACAACTAGAACAACATTATGGTAATATATATTTAAAAACCACTTTAAGATTAAACTATCAAAGATATTATGGGAAAAAAGGCATTTTAGCTTTCCAAAAATCTACTAAACAATATAACAAGATTATAGAAAGTCTAGAAAAAAGGAAAAATCACCCACAATTCAACAGTATTAATGCAGTTGTAACTGGGGTAGTCTCTCTCAGTCTTTTTCTTTTCCAAGAAAGCCCAGGCAATTAATTGTATGGTAATAGCCTGAATACCAGTGATTCCAGGCTGCCAGATTTAAAGACAGGTATATCCCCAAATTCTTATTTAAAGTTCCCACAAGAACTGAGATATTATTATATTCTGCTAATAAAAAGCTACCTTTAATAAGTTATTGGAACTTTTCTCTTATAGAATTTTACATAAACCAACTTTACTTATATAATTTAAAACTTTATCTTAAAAATAATGTAAAGTTAATTTGATACTGTTTCTGTGAATATACACATTAGTGAAGTAGTAGGTTCCTGGCACTTAGGATAGGCACCCAACTAATATTTGTTGAATGAATAAACTATTTTAATATAGCATAGTTCACATTTTCCATAAATTGCTTATTAACAGAAAGTAAAAAAAAAAAAAAAAAAAAAAAAATCCACCTTTTCCTCTTAAATTGAACTCTTATTTTCAGTTACTATCTAAATGGCAAATGTTTACAGGGATTACATACTAAGATAAAAAAAAAAAACAAACACCAAAAATTAAACACCCCACTAATATAAGTTCTTTTGATAATATCTATTCTTTCAATGCCTGTCTTTAGCACCTCATTTTGACAAAGGAAGAAAACTATATGTTGTGAGCAGTTCTTCACTAGAACAGTCAGCATCCTGCTGTATCTGTGATAAACAGCTATTAAGGGTACAGAACGTGGTGGTTATAGCAACCAGCACTGCTGCGACAATTTCCAGCCTGAATCGGATGAAACTTTGGGACTATGGTAGCTGCTATGACAGTGACCATTACTTACGAATATGCTTGGGCAACCTGGCAGACACCTCGAGTTACAGCAGGTCAATGTTCAAACCAGGTCACACGCAACTTCAAAACGAAACCCTAGGACAGTTACTATCAGGGCAGACATACTAATGCTTTTCATTTTTAATTAATATTTTTCTGAATGAGAATTGTATTGTTTACAAATATGAAAGGTTGGGTGAATTTAAAATTTTCATTCTAAAATTCTCCAAACACAGACAATCAGTTAATAAAAAAATTTAGGGTTATCAGCAAGATTATCACAAGAATCTGGCAACCACCAAATTATTTTACACACACCACCGCAATGTCTAGAACAGCAACGGGAACAGAAGTGAAATAAGCCTATTGTATAGAATTAATGATCAGCAACCTCATGAAAGTAATGATCACAGAATAAGATAATCAGCTTACTGTAATGCTCTCTGATAATCCATGTACCACTCTTATGGTGAAAATCTGTACTTTTCTTATGTTAAAATATTAGCTTCTAACATGAAAAAATTCACTTGAAGAATTCTACTAGTTTGATGTGGATGAATACATCATTAAGTTAAGTAACTCAGGAAAGTAACAGTGCATTTGAGCCCTTACCTGTGCTACTGTTCCCTAAACTTCCTTGGTTTCCAATCATCCCTTGGTTACCCATCATTCCTGGCTGAGGTATCACTGAGTAGGGACTGCTGTTTCTGATTGGTGGAAAGGGTCCAGCACCAGTTGGGCTTTGCAATGTGATGTCAAGTGGTAAATTCTGGTTTGGCAATAACCTGCCCAGTTGCCCTGGTCGTGGGTTATTAAAAGCTAAGGAGAGAACAAATGAAAATTGAAGGTTAGTATCAGATAACAGAAAAGAACTGTAACAGAAGCAGTGTTTAGTGAAAATGTCATCTGTAAAATAACAAAGATATGCATATCAGGGACCAACTGCCTACATAAAAGACAAAAAAAATGCAGCATCAAAATCTCATATGATCAACAGGTAACTAATTTATTTATTCATTCTTGCAAAAAAAGAAAGAAAAGAACATAACATGTCTATCACTTACCATGTGTTTTTCTCCCCAATACTAATTTCTAATATTCAATTGTATTTGCTAAGTAAACCACTACTATGTTTTTTTTTTTTTTTTCATGTTATATTATTTGAATTTAGGAGTACTGCTTTGTCACAGCTATGAAGTTATAAACATCTTCTACATAGAGAACCAAACTCAGAAACGTATGGTTTGAATGTTAGAATATCATGTCTCCAAAGGACTTTCCTAGGAGTAGCATTAGATTCAAGGTGTTGAATTCCATTGGAAGTGGAAATCTTCAAGTGTGAACTCTGCTACCTGAAGTTATTATTTATGTTTCAGAGCCCTAATCTTTAATCTTCTAAATACAGCTTTTTAGAATTCCAGATACATTTAGATTTGAAATGATTCTTATGATTTGTTCCCAAGAATTTATTGTGTAATGAGCACTATGCCGGTGCACTGTACTATCACACAAACAGTGATTTGATAACAATGCTCTTCAATTTTAAAAGTACAAAAATTTTATAAATTAAAATGTATAGCACTAATTTATTAAATAATATGAAGTACTTTACTTTCTCTGAATTATATAAACATAGTACAAAACAGAACATTTAAAACAAAAGGTTCTTCACATTCAATAACAGAAAATATTTAGAAGAATTAGGGCTTGGACTAGAAATGATATCATGCTTCTTTATGTCTTCCTCAAGTTTAGTTACGTGGTTACCATTCAGTAATCTGAACACTATTGGAGGCACAGACCGAGGAGAAACCACGAGTGCACCTGCAGTCTGACCCTCTGGGTAATGAGCATGAACTTTCTAGTGTTCCTTACTCACTTCTCAACTCTTCGACGTGTGCTCTCCATGGTCCATAAGTAACCCTCCATTCCCTAAGAAATAGGCAGGTTTGAGAGATAACAGCAAAAACGCTACTTTGTTTTACCCTTTTTGGAATGATCGGGAATCACTTGAAAAAAGATCTAGGAAATAAAGGTATCCTGTGATTTGGTTGATAGCTGCCATTTTTGGTTTGAGAACTAATGCTAAGCTTTAAGCCAAACTGTATTGGAAGAGGGGAAAAAATCATTCTGTTCACCAATGCTACGCTAAGGAGATTATCTATTGTTCTTTAAGTTATGTCACTGGAACAGGAAAAGTATTTTCTTCCATTCAAACTATTGGGCAACTTTAGGCAATTATCAAGTTTGTAAACTAAGTGATCATAGTGAAGGAAGATTTCATCTTAAATAAAATTTAAAATAAAAATAATAAAATAAATGATAAAAATATACTTTATAAGTCTAAGGACATTAGCTTTATATCAAACTAACCAAACTTGAAATGCACTTAGAACACATTTATATGATAAAGTTCCATGTAAAACTGATATTTGTATGAGGATTCCCTAAGAGATAAGACAAAATATTTTTAATGTGTGCAGCCCTTTCTTATAGAATGATTAAATATTTTGATAATTTTTAGTGGTATATTATTCCTAAAAAGTCAGCATAACTTCCTCATTTTCTACATTTTAAATATTCAGTTATATGTTAAAACACATAGCATCTATTTTAAACTCCATTTCTGAAGGCGGCAGCTGAAATGCAGGGAAATATGACTATCATCTAAAGAACTTTGTCTATGTGGGTCAGTCAGTCTCACTCCATGTTGATTAAATCTACCACATTGAATGCTGGGAAGCCACGTTCATGAGAACCGACTCTGAATGCTGTTTGGAAGGACCAGGACAGTAGATGGTGCTATCTGACCATAAAAACCTTGAAGTGACTAAGCGGTTTGCATCAGATTTTAATAATCCCCCTTTCTGGTGGAGATTATACAGCATAACCATCAGTATCTCATACTCACTGCTCTGTGAAATTCGCAGTGCTGTTTTCTGGGCTCCAACAGGTGTAACCGGGCTGTTTTCAGCTGTGAGTTGCATGAGGTCATTGATGATGGCTTGCTTGTCAACTGATCCAGCAGGGGCGCCAGGCCTCGTGTCTGGGAAAAGCTGTGGTAATTGACTATTCTGCAAATCATCCAAAATTTCCTCCAAGTTGTCCAGCTCACTGCCAGGCTGCAGTTAACAACAGAAGAGTTTATCCTGTTCCATGTAAGAGTGGGCACCACAGGCCCGCTTGCAATCACAGACCTAACTGGTGTAAGGCACCCATAGCTAAATAAAAGATGCAGATACACACCCACTTCAGGCCCAACAGTTAAATGATCATCTTTTAAAAAAGTTAAATTGACAAAGAACATATAACTTAATCTTTTGGCCCTCATTTCCTCCTCTGTAAAAAGAGAGATGACTGAATTAAAAAGAAAGCTCTCTTCCAGCATTGTGATTCTTGGCAATTCATAAATCTCCCCTTATTTTATGCTAATAATTCAATTAATCATGATATGTGTATTACTAATTGACCAACAACTTACAGTTCAGATCCAGGTTTTATGGTTAATTTCCCTAAGAAATGACAACAATAACAAATGCTGGTAGAAAATATGATCCAAATTTATTCTACATCAGTACTCAGTAAATGATGATTCTTTTTTAGGACTTTTTTTTTTAAGAGCAGGGGGTAAAACACAAAATTAGCTTGTGGCAACCATGAGTAGCTAAGCATTGCCTTTTCCATCTGACTGCGGTCCTTCCTGCTTGTACTTTCAGTTTCGAGTAACACTGGCTTTCTGTCACGCACCAGGCTAGGTGGCAAAATGTAGGGAAGCTGGATGAAAACTGGTTGTCCCCAGAAACAGCACCTACCAACCTGGTTCACAGAAGCCGTAAAAATGTTTTTTTTAAAGGGCTTTCCCTTTATAAAAATAATTTCATGTCAACTACCAACATTAAAATAAGGTAAACACCACCACCATGTTATACTTAGTGCTTTTCTTCTAGAAAGCCCAACTGATTTTCATATTCTTTCAAGTAGAACCTACCTATGTGTCAAGTATTTAAAATCAGACAGCGCCAACCACACAAGAAAATGGGCAAGTTAAATGCTAGGGTTACTTTCTAGTGCAGAAAGTGATAAGAATAATTTTCTTGATGTGTAGGTGAAAAAATATAATTTAGACAATTTCTCCAAAGTCACTGAACAGACTCTGAATCCTTGACTGTGACTAACCCTTTTGTCTACATTGGTAACTCAAGTGAAATTGTTTACATTTGATATAAGGTATAATTATCAGAAGAACCTATAGTTTTATCCTATATACAATCCTATTCCCCATGTAGAGGTTGGATTTGCTAAGATTTTTGCAATTTATGGCAAATATATTAGGGATCGTTTCCTGGGTTACGAGAGCATTTTCTAGTTAGGTTAGCCACCCATTTCTAACAAAAGATAGAAGCATCAAATATGGGAGATAGCACCCCACAATACACACAGACACAGATGAGATGATCCTTGAAGCTCTGCCTCAGGAAGGCATCTCGCTGGATGTCCCTTCCAAGGGCAACAGAGTCAGTGTCATGGCTGCTTCTCTGGCTGAGTCCTACATGATGTAGTTTATATGGGGCCGCACTGCACTTTAAAGCCTGGAGCTACGTTTTCATGCTGTCAGAAGTGCAAGGGAGCCAAACCCCAGTAAACACCATCACCAACCTCACCATCACTGCGCTAAGGCGCGTACCCAGTGGGCGGAATGGTGGGCAAAACTGCTCATACTACTTCAACAACCATTTAATAGCTGCCACCTCTTCTTCCTTTCTGAACACATACAGATGATTTTGTGTAAGTTAAATGTACACGTAAAGTGACTTCGTTGCAAATCTATCTATATCATGTTTTGCTGAAGACCTAAGTATAAAGACCAGTGTAAACATTTATTGTCCTTCAACAACTGCCTGGAACACAATAAAGGCCACTCAGTCAACCTGGTGAATTCTTTTAACTATATTCATCTGTTATCTAAAAAGTTTTCCCAGGGTCAACTGAATTTCTCATAAAAATGATTGATAAAGATGTGTGATATCTTTATAGTTGTGTCATAAAAAAGCTAGAGAGCAGAAAGAGGTACTAACAAACTGGGACGTGTGCAGCTGTCCTAGGGAACCAAGACTGCCCACTACAATGCTGCTCTGTACACAGCCTTTTAGATAAAGTGGCCCTGGAAGTCACTGTGTGGGAGTGAAGGAGGTGGCTGTTGTGAGTGACAAGTTGCTTCTTGAGAAAGCTTTGCAGATTGCCTTGGATGGAAGCATCCAGAATAAATGGGTTCATAGAAACAATCATAAAAAAGAAATAATTTTCCTCAATGGATGCTCTTATATTGGCCTTCAATCCCAAATACATGTAAAAGGAAGTTTTTATACTATCAGTTAACAAGAGCCTGGATCTAGACTCCTGCCTTTCATTTTTACCTTTCCTGTTTCCATGCAAATAAAATTATACTTTAAGCCATCTCAACAGAAAAATAAAACTCAGAGTTTCAAAGAGTTCTAATGATAGGATTCATAATTCTTCCTTTGTAATCTATTCTTGTGTCTTATATAACGAGTTTAAAATAAGTCTAATGTTTTATATACATAACTAATGTTACTTATACACACAGAGAATGTTAAAATATATTTGGTGCATTAAACCGATTTTTTTTTATCTCAAATAATTATAAATTTAAAAATCCATCATTTTCCTTGGTTGATTTTGTTTTTACAAAACATATATGAAAAATGATTTTCAAAGTATAATCTTTATTTATTTATTTTTTATCATCACCTGAGGACATTTTTTAATATTTTGTTCAGATAGAGTGGAAAGGAGAGAAACATCAACGTGAAAGGGACACATTGAGTGGTCACCACCCACACGACCCAACCAGGGCCGGGAACAAACTGCAACCAAGGTACGTGCCCCTAGTGGGAACCAAACCCGGGTCTCTCTGGACCACAGGCCGAGGCTCTAACTGCTGAGCAAAACCGGCTAGGGCTATAATCGTATATATTTTAAGAGATTGACCAAATTCAACTGTGGATCAGTCTAGTTCTAACAAGTAACTAAACTCATTTGTCTTAAGAAAGTGGGTGTTACGTACAAAAGGAACAGGTGGTTCAGAGATCATAACTACTGAATTCATTGTGTGCTATCAGAAAGATGCGCTATGAAATTTTCCCCACTAGAGATAATATTGCTTTGCTTGTGTTGATTCTTGTCAATTTCTGGAATACACATTTAAGACTAATCTAATTGTTTTAAGTTTACTTTAAACATTTCCCTTCAAGGAGATAAAGTTCAGAAATGTTTACACGCCTTTGGTTGTCTAGTAATAAAAGTGGGTAAATATGGCATTTTCTTCTGTAGTCATGTCAGCTCTGGAAGGGACGGATTTGATCGCATTAAGTTTCTGCTCAAATATTTCCTCCCCTAAGTTTTTGTAAGCTGTAATTCTCATCCAGAGTTCTAGCCAGTCCCTCTCCACTTTTTAGGCATGATTTCTTCACAAGACAAAAAGATTGATGCTTTCCTTTAAAAGGCTTTGCCAAGATACTTCAAAGTTTTGCTTAGGCATCTATTCGAATGCTCAAATTAGCCACATCAATTGAAATAGTTAGTTTAAACTATTTCAGGCAGAAAATGAGTCAGAAAGACTTTCATACAGTTCTACAAAATGAAAATTGAACTTGATTTCTTTAATTTTTCATTTTTCTAGATTTATGCATTTTTCATGTGTCAAATTACTTATTCTCTGAAGCAAATATAAAGCACACATGCATTTTAATGACATAAGTATTCTAATAAATTACTAAACACATTAGAAAAATTTTAAATAAAAAGTGTAATTTTACCATATTTGCCTGACATAAAATTATTAAAACATAGTAATACAATGTATCATATTTGAAGGGAAATACTACCAGTGTAAGGTATGGTTTACTATAACGAAACCTTCATCCCAAATAGCCCAGTAGCATTAGAAAGAAAGGGGTGTCAATGGGTTCCACTGTGTAAATAAATATATAACTTCAAAGTTGGTAAACATACTGGAAATTTTGCTGTCATTACTTCCTGTTGGTTATGAAATGCTGTAGAAACAAATGTTTAAATACTCTACCCAGTAAAGAATGCTATTTTAGGTATAACAGCACCATCAAAATACTTCCTGTCCGTAGTAAGTTAGTGATCGGTTAAACACACACTCGGGTAATGGCTCTTTGCTGAGTCAAAATAACAAGACAGTTAACTGCACCTAAGCTTGCTAACAGTTTATCTCACTAAATAAAAAATTTGTGTTCCCTTGATATCAAAGAAAAGTCTTCAATAAATGTGTACAGCAGTTAATAGGAACACAATTAATCTGTATTTGGAATTAGTGAAGGAGCGCAGGAGGAGAAAGAATCACAGTTTTTTTCTTTAAGTCATTTTAACCTTGATCTAAATTTAAGTAATGCATACTTCCTGTGGTAACTTTTCTTTTCAAGTTACAGTGTTTTTTATGTTAAAAATGCTCTGAAGCAGTATTTTTTGGTGAAGTTTTAAATGGGAGAGGATGGAAAGTGAGACACAGACTGTTTCATTAAGAAAAAAATACTATATATATGTGTGTTTGTGTACATTGCTTTGTGGTCTACTGAAACAGATTTGTGCTGATAACACTTTGGGCTTTATGTTCCCTACGTGGGACAATTTTGCTTAGAAAAATGTTTCTCCTAAACAATTAGAAACTGCAAAGCCTTTTAAAAAAGCTTTTCTTTCTTTGTCAGTTTTTGCCTGAAGTTAGTATAATCATATATCTAAACACAGAAATGCCAGCGAGTGTCCCTCTTCTCTGGCCCTCTGAAATCCCAGGGCCTCAGGCCTGGGGCAGAAACAGACTGTGTTTCTGGAGGGAGGGGCCAACCACTTAGCCACTGAGCTAAGGTGGACCTCACGAGTCACCATCTTGCCCTCTCGCCTGTGTCAAGAGACTTGAGTGACAGTATCTGTGACTGCCACCCCAAAATGGCACTAGCTCTGTATATTCTAATCTAGTAAACCTCAAAAGATTAAAACATTTATAGCTGTCACTATGGTTTTTCAGTACACTTCATCCAAAATATTGCTATTAACTTTCTGCTGAGCCCTCAGTTTCCCCATCTAATGGTTTCCTAGCATTACAGAATAGTTGTTATATAGAATTCGGCACTAACATCTAAGTTTAAGGGTTAATTAGCAAAGATGTTTATATAATTAGGCTGTTTCCCTTGTGAAGGACACAAGGGCTTAAAATCCTCTGCCTTATAGGAATGGGAGCAGCTGTCAAGACATCAAAGTGGAAGAAATAAGGGAAGCCAAGTGCTTAGAAACCCGACAGAGCCCAGCTGTGAGCATGTGCAGCCTCAGCTCTCCCGATTACAGCTTTCAATCCGGCCTGCCTCTGGGCCAGCTTCTGCTGACTCGGCCGAGTTCAAGGCTGCACACACAGCGAGGGGTGCTGCCCTCTCCTCTCCCCATGCGCACCTAGTCCCCAAAGACAGCAACATATAATATCCACTTGCTAACAAGTTTCAAGGAAAAATTAGTGAACCATTTTAAGTAGAAAGGTCCACAGCTCCTTCTCTTCTTAACCAATTATGTCTTAAAAGACTGGAAGTACAGGGCAGAGCTCAGGGCTGGAGGGAGAGTTGGAGAGAGCAGAGTGAGCTCTTGGATCATTAACCCAACCGGCCACAGATTCCCCAGGAAACACCTTATGCCAAGCCATTGTGTCAGTAATAACTCTTCTTTTTAAATAAAGAAAATATTAAATGGTTTACATTTTTCTTGTGATGTCATTATTTCCTCAGAGTATTATCAAGAATGATTTTAAATTTCATTTAGCTGTCCTAGATTTTTCCAGGGAATTAAATCTTCAGATAAGAACTACAGATAACACAACTGATTATTTTAGGTTTGCATTTATATATGATGGCTCAGATATACTAACACCAACTCAAACTTCACCTCCCCTTTCTTACTCTCCATTTGCCCTTACACACTTTTTATAGTGACAGGCTAAGAAATTCTTTTTTTTTTTTTAATTAAAAATTTTTTTTTTCTTTATTGATTTGAGAAAGAGAGAGGAAGGGGGAAGGAGAGAGAGATTGAAAGATCGATGAGAGAGACACATCGATTGGCTGCCACCCGCACAACCCCAACCGGGACTGAGGACAAACTGCAACCAAGGTATGTGCCCTTAGCGGGAACTGAACCCGGGACTCTCTGGTCTGCAGGCCCATGCTCTAACCACTGAACAAAACTGGCCAGGGTGGCTAAGAAATTCTTTAGCGTGAATCAGAAGTTTTGATTGAGAACAGAGTTACAATGATCTTCATTAGGTGTGAAAACCCAGTCAAACTCTGATCTTAAAAAAAGAGAAAGGCAAATGAGAAATAATTTAATTCAGTCTGTACTGACAAGGCCCAGTTTCAAGGAAGTGATTCTATCTGATTTCAGCATCATCTACTAACAAGGTCAAACTATAGCTGGCCTGCGGGCCAGCTCCAGCCACCGCCTGTTTCTGTGCGGCCCACGAGCTAAGAATGGATTTCAACTATATAAAACTCAGATAACAGGGTCTGGAGCACAGCACAGACGTCTGGCCTACAAAGCCTAAAAGATTTACCATTTGGCCCTTTACAAAAAAAAAAAAGGACCGTCAACACTGCCCTGGCCCAATGTCACTCTTTACTAATAGAGTATTTGGAACATGTAGCTTCAGGGACAATGAGATCTGTTTCAAGTAAGGAAGAGCAATAAGAGAAGACTTATTTTTATATAATCACCTGAGACCTCAAAATGCTCCTGTGGAGAAAATTCTTGATGGAAATGGGTTAACAGACTTGGGGGAACACATTACAAAACTTACCTGGTCACTGGGCTCAAAGCTCATCTCCTCCTTCTCGGTTTTCATAGCTATTAGCTTTGTGTTACTGGCAGGGTCTGTCTTACTGTCCAGTCGCTCAAGTTTGGGGGTTATTTCTGGTAAACCAATATCTTTAGTATCATCTTTATCTAGCAAATAGCGAAGTAGTGCATTCTCTTTCTTCTTGGGGCTAACTGGCTCTTGTTTAATAGTCACTTCTGAACCAGGACCTGTGCTGTTGGCCTCCTGGCTCAGCTCTTTGCCTGTGGCTTCTGCTGTTAACTTAGCCAAGTCCACAGGAGAACTGCTGTCCTGCAGGAGTCTGTGCAAAATCTTATGCTTCTCCTTGAGAGAGGTCCCATGTGTCGACCCAGAACCAGGCAAGCTACCCGCGGAGTCCTTGTTTGTGTCCGACAAAGAGCTGGACAGGGGCGAAGGCTCCATCTGGTCGGATTTGGTGGTCAACAGCTGCAGGAGTTTGGTCTGCCCTTTGCTGTCATGCAGTCTGCTCTGTCCGTCTGACCGCTCGCTGCTCCCACCCTGGGGTGCACTGGAATCACTCGTTTCCTTCTGCTCTCCAGGATGGCAGCTGCTCTCTGCTTGTCCAGCTGTACTTTCAGATGGCTCCCCATACAGCCCAAAACAGTCTTTGGAGTCTAAGCTTCCCATCTTGCTGAGTGGGGTAGGATTCATATTAACTGGGGAGTTTTGCAAATTGCCCATTTTTAGGTCCGGCGAAGCCAACGATGACCCTAATGAGACCCCGTGCCCTTCGCTGAGGGCCTGAAGTGCGTTGAGGGAACTGTTGGTGTAGCTATGGCTATTTCCTGTGCTGCTGCAAACTCCCACAGGGGAATGCAAGCTTCCTGCAGGGGAGAACTGACTGGGTGGTATTCGGGGGCTTCCAGCCACCCCAGGGCTCATGCGATGTCTTGGTGAAAGCATGGAGCTGGGCTGGCCTGGATTCATGCCAGGGCTGCTCTGGGAGGGACTGTTCATTTTGAGTGCATAGTTACTACCCTGAGGAGTGGTTGCTTGCATGCCTGACACATGGTTCAGTCCCCCAGAACCAGCAAACCTGCCCATGGGCATGCTCATCTGCTCCTTTGGGCCGTTTATGGGAAAACTTATATTGCTACCAAGGGTCATGTCCTGACCTGGGTTCGCACTGCACATGGTCTGATGGGCAGGGCTGCTAGAGCTAATGGGATTCAATGGCTTCCCCATCGCTTGTCCAGTCAGATCCGGATTCATTAAACATACATTCTGCTCTCTGTATAATGAGGAAAAAAATATAAGATAAAAGGCAAGGCACTTAGCAAGTTGTTATTAATTTAAAAAATATGAAATGGACTCTTTCCTTTAAAAGAACAGGCTACACTTAAAGGAAAGATAATACCTGATGAAACAATCTGTAATTATGGGCAAGACTGAACACGTTGAGTGTTGGACCAAGAGGATGTTTTTCAGTCAACTCATTAAGATGTCTGCGGTTTTACAGAGGGGGTGTGTTTAAATTTGACTGCTACCATACTGAAATTGTAGTTATTAGACAAGACATTAGAGGGGTTCCAATTATTATATATATTTCTCATTACGTGATATATTATCATGAGTAACTGAGAACTTGAACAGTCCAAAAGAAATGACCCAAACAAGTATAGCTGTCTTCAGTTATTTATCAGAGATCACAATTCCTAAGAATAGACACATCTGTAAGCCTGGAGAACTCTGGTATGTATGACTTGGCTCAAGGTGAACAGCAAACGTAGAGAGAAAAACTTGCCCCTTACTATTAGAAACACAGCAAGTTCCAGAGCCAATAAAGTTACCAAAATTGTTTAGAATTAGATCACTTTAACAGATCCCAACACCCAGGTCCTCGGCAAGTCAAAGCAAGAGCCTCCAAAACAGACAACACGAGAGAGGACTTCGGAGTGACCTCAGTTGTGATCTGATTCCCTAACTGCTAGACAACTCCATCCACTCCCTTGCTAACGACTGGATGCATGTTTTCTGAGCTGCATGGTTTTCCAAGCTCTGTGAGCCTTAATTTACAGCCTTGGCAGTCACTCGTAAGTTACCAAATGTGTTCACAAACCCAAACAAAACAGGTTTCACAAACTGTCAAACATCAGCTTTCAGTTAGGGGTGAAATCTAGCACATCTGTAATCACTTTCAAATTGTTTCAGTTTGAGGTCAGATTTATTAGCAGTTGGCAAACAGTGCTGCCTGTTTTTTTTATTTTTTTATTCCAAAATAAGAAAGTAAATAATTGAGAAATGTAATAAAAGGGGACTCTTTACCCAGGGCAAGTTTATATATATTCTGATAGTACCTCATAAAGTTTTACATAGCACATACATAAATATTTATATAACTTGAAATGCAATCATTTTCCTAAATTTGTGCTCTAAAACAATATGGTTCATGACATTTATTTTTAAAATCAACATTTAGTTTCCTTTACTTTCATTTCTCATGGAAATGTTTATTACCCTTCAATTTAAAGTTTAACGTCAAGAATTTAATCCTGAGAATAAAAATCTGAAATATTCCTTCGACGTACACACGTTTGAGTGTTTTACATTCAAACACGAGGAGCAGAAAGCATGCTCGTGGCTTCAGTACTCCTGCCCCCGTGGTGTCACCACTGGGAACTGGTCAGTGTCCCTTCCCCGACGTGCTAGGCAGTCATGTCAGAGCAAAGTTATTGCTAGCCGGTGTTCTTCCAGCTGGGTTTAAAAATTCACCAGTATTCAGGCAAAAATTCAGAGTGCAGTCCTATTTAGCTGGTATCATGAGTTGTCGTTCAGCCAACAGTTAGTAGCAATTTAATTTCATATTTGATGTCTGGGTTGATCAACGGAAATGCCTAACAAATCTGAAAAGTTAGGGCGATTTGTTGCTTTTCTGACATCTCCTTTAAGGCGGGAAGGGAAGACTTCTTAGAACTGAGCTTACCTGTGAAGCATATGTAAAGATATGACAAGCTGAGGCTCATTAGTAGTCTGAGAACGGATGAGTTTGCTTTTCGTCTGCGCAGCAACAAGAGTGCCATCGGACAAGGAGAAACGGTAGATCTGACTGAAAGCCAATCCTTGTCTCAGCACTGCCGGTGAGCAAGGAAACAGAACACACATTTAGGAAGCACAGGGGTGGGAGCGGGTTGACACAATACTAATAATAAACTGCATTATGTTTAATGTTTTCCAACCAGAAGTTAGAGTTATCAGGAATACTTCATGATATTAAAACTTTACACATTTTTCACTTAAAATACCAATAAATTCAAAATATTGTTTTTTTAAATAGAGTTTAAACCCTCAAAATAGCCCCTCCCCCTTTACCATTTATTTATTTTGTTAAACCCTGCCTGAGGATATTTTTCCACTGATTTTGGGATAGAGTGAAAGGGAGGGAGGGGTAGAGAGAGAGAGTGAGAAAAACACTGATTGGTTGCCTTCCTCATGACACTGACCAGGGATCAAACCTGCAACCCAGGTATGTGCTCTTGACCCGGAATCAAACCCTCAACCCTTTGGTCTGAGGGCTGATTATCTAACCACTGAGGCACACAGGCCAGGGCTCAAACTGGATTCTTTAAAAAATCTTCAGTACCACCCTGGCTGGTTTTGTTCAGCAGTTAGAGCATCAGCCCATGGACCAAAGAGTTGCAGGTTCGATTTCGGTCAAGGGCATGTACCTCAGCTGGGAGGCAGCCAGTCGATAAGTCTCTCTCACGTCGATGTTTTTCTCTCTTTCCCTCCCACTCTATCTGAAGATAAATGGAGAAATATTCTCGGGTGAGGATTAAAAAAATAAAATAAAATCTTCGGTACCATGACAAAACAGAGTATAAACAATGTATTAGCTCAAAACAAGCTTTACAAGGATTTGTTTAAGATGTTAGCCAACAAGGCAGTAACACATACCTTTAAAGTATACAATATGCTTCTCATTTCCCTTTAACTAATACAAATGTTACAGTAAAATTTATGACAGTACATATATTCTCCGAATATTCATCTCAGTTACGTACTGTTCAATCCATCATCTCACACTACTACTCCCCAATTCTGTTTCTCTCAGTGTGTAAGAAGCATTATTTCTGTGGTTAAACAACAGGAAGTAAAAGATAAACAATCAGAAAAATCTTTTCAGTGAAAAAAAGGCCAAACAGAAAACTGAAACAAATCTCAGTGACATGGAATTGGTTTAAGGTCTTGATAAACAATCAAGTGTTTCCATTTTCAACACACTAACAGAAAATATAGATCAACTGAATTAAAATAATTTTTCTTAAAATATAACTTCATAATTCATTTTTTAAAACAACTATTTTATTTTATTATAATTATTTTTTAATCTTTATTGTTGAAAGTATTATATATGTTCCCCCACTGACACCCCCCCCCCCACTTTCCCTACACTATTGTCTGTGTCCAGTGGTTGTGCATATATGCATATAAATTCTTTGGTTTATCTCTTCCCAACTCCCCCAACTCCCTTTCCTCTGAGGTTTGTCAGTCTGTTCCCTACTTCCAAAAACAACTATTTTAAAACTGTCACATACTACATATTAAAAAAGAACGTTTCGATTCAGAAAAAGTAGTCATATAATTTAGCTACCTCTAAAACCATTTTAAGAAGACTACTGTGTTTTTACCAAATAATCTTCAGCACAAATTCTGTGGGTTGAATTGCTAGCCCCAAAGTGACCAGCAACAGTCACCATTCCACAAGGATGGAGATAGAGAGAGAGAGAGAGAGACAGAGAGAGAGATTGATTCTGATTTCTTGGTAAAATCTCACTTCGAGCACTTTCCCTAAAGAAACCCCCTCTCACCCTGCCAGTGTGGCTCAGTGGCTGAGCATCAACCCATGCACTAAGAGGTTGCTGGTTCGATTCCTGGTCAGGGCACATGCCCAGGTTGTGGGCCCAACCCCCAGTGGAGGGCATGCAGGAGGCGGCCAATCAATATTTCTATCTCTCCCTCTCCCTTCCTTTCTCTCTAAAATCAATAAAGAAAGGAAAAAAGGAAAGAAGAAACCCCCTCTGCAGCTTGCTACCTGCAGTATTTCAGTACTACGCTCTGGCCTCAACTGTTGCAGCACTGAAAATGAACTACTGTCCATATGTGTATCTTGCCATCTACAATAAGTATGTTCCTAAAAAGTACCATAAATACCATTTTTATAAGATTCATGTTTCCAATGGTTTATAATCTCAGAATTTTATCTGACCTTGGATGTGATCCTTTACGATTTCCCATTTCCATTTGATCTACATCAAACGTGTTTACTAAGTAGACCCGTGTAAGCGTGCACCTGAAGCATTTAGGCAGCTCTGCATTTAAACAAAGCCCTCCAGTAGATTTTTATTCAATGCAAATGATTACCCTTCATCTTATCTACTTTGTACATTTAGATGAAATGTATTTCAAATATTTCAGAGTTTCCTTTCAGTGGGTCCCATCTAATGAAACCTAGCACAGTGCCTGGTACATCTGTATACAACCTTTTGTAAGGAATCAGGAAGCCACAGAATTAAATGTAGGGCATTGCTATGCAGGGCCCAAGGACATGTTTGCTCATGGTAAGCTTTTATTTTTTGTTGTTACTATTCTTTTTATTTTAAATCAGATCTGGTGAAATGGTATTGATTCCTATCAAATGTAGCCTTTTTATTTCCTCTTATTCTTTTCAACTTAAAGAAAAATGCTGGAAGACACAAATTGTTGGATTATGTGCTTATTTTAAAAGAAATAATGATAAAGAAGATATACAGGATGAGTAAGATGAGGAAAAACTAAGGGAAGGAGAGAGGTCATTTGCTATGATTTGTACTTTCAACAGCGACCTTAAAAGCATAAAATTTAAACATATGACACTACCGGTGAAATGCCAAGGTCACGGATGCACATTAAACAGAAGATGTCAAACTAAAACTCTATTTTCAGTAATGAGTCACAATTTTTCTCCGCAAAAATGCCGACAATTTGCCAAATTGAGTTATGAGGCACACTGCCCTGCCCCGGCCCACAGGCAGCCTGGCCGCCCAGCCGTGGAGCCCGGGCCTCTGAACAAATGCAGCTGCCAGGGCGCAGGTGCCAGAGGAGGACACACTGCTCCCTCCCCACTCAGCACTTCGTAAGGGCTAAGGAAAGGGATTTTTCCCTTGTTCTCGTCAATTTAACAAACACCCAGGATGTGCTTGAGGAAAAGTGATTCTGTGGAAGAACTTTGGGGGCAGCATAGTGGGGTGACTGGCAGGATGGGTCTCAGTGAACATCCAGCACTGACACTTACCACCTGCTCAAGAGCCATCACCTCATCTGTGCCAGCCTCCCTGTCTACAGCAGGGGAGTCACATGCCTGCCGTGAGGACCAAGGAGATAATGCAAAGAGGGACAGTGCCAGACAAGACCAGGTAGGTGCTCGATAAGGGTGGCTATTAGTACTGAAATATGATCCCAAAGTCTAGGGTTTAGTTCCAGCTGTTCTATTAATTAACTGTATGGCCTCAGGTAAGTCACCTCATCTCCTTGACCCTTCCAAAAATACTGGGGCAACCTTTAGTGGTCATCATCTGAAAGGAGGGACTGGGACCCCACTGTCACTTCAATAAAATATCCATAAATGTCGCCCTGGCCGGTTTGCTCAGTGGTTAGAGCATAAGCCCGCAGACAGGAGAGTCTGGGGTTCGGTTCCCGCTCAGGGCACGTACCTTGGTTGCAATTTGTCCCCGGCCACGGTTGGGGTCATGAGGGTGGCAACCAGTCGATGTGTCTCTCTCACATTGATGTTTCTCTCTCTCTCTCTCCCTCTTCCTCCTTCTTTCCCTCCCGCTCTAGCTGAAGATAAATGCAAAAATGTCCTTGGGTGAGGGGAAAAAAAATCCCCCACAAATGTCATTTCATTCCTTTTTCCAGATTCTCTTTATGATTCAGATAATATTGCCTTTAATATCAGATGGTACCTTATTGTCTTATACATCTAGCGCTTTAGAATCAAAGACAATGACCTCTTTCCCTTTCCTTTCATCTGTCTGAGAAATTATAACATCCATGTCTATGTCCTTCATCATACTCTTCCGTCCTATGGCTTCTCCTATGAAATCTTCCTTCAGATGGCAAGGTGGTCTGGGTGTGGCACCACCCAGGCACAAATGAACACAGAGAGTAACCAGACCCAAGTCCGCCAAGCTGAGCTTCAGGAACCACTGTTTCAGAGAAAGCTCCTGCAGGAAGCAGTACTTTAGCAAAATCAAGTTCAAGAAAAATATCCTTTGGAGACGCTTACCTTCATGATGATGCCTCTTGGCATAGGACAAAGACTCCCCCTCGTGCTGTGCGTGGAACTTCTGGATGCACCTTCTCACCAGGTCCTCCCAGCCTGGCTTCATGGCAGCCCGCATGGTGCTCGTGTCCAGTGAAGTGATCTTGCCTAGCAAATTATAGCAAGCATTGTATCTACATGCAGATCGATTACTTATGGAAATAATTAAATTTGTAAAGATAGAAATGTGTTTATCTACAGTAGTACCTAGACGAAAAGGGTAGGCAGGGACAGCACTGGTGCCTCCCCGTCCTGCCCTCCAGCTCCTCACTGCTTCCACCCCACAGCCAGTCCCAGCATCTTAAGCACATTCCTCACACTGACAAATACTCAGCATTCTCAAATGGCTTATTTGGTCTTCTTTGCAAAAAAATTTACCTTGGAGATCTTGGCGAGTAGTAAAACTTTCTGATGAGGGAAGAACCGGTCTTTCCTTCATGGGGACTCTCCTTGCCACACAAATCAAGCAGGACTGCAAATCTTCAATCACAGACACTTAGGGTTATCATATTAGGCTTTTTTAGTGGTTCAAACAAACTCAAGTGTATTTATGACAGCACAGCCTTGTAAATGAACAAGGAGAGAGTGACAAAATGCCGTGTACCTCTGCTTTTTGCTGGCCCTACTCTCCCCTCCACTGGGGACAGGGAGGGGTGTGCTGTGTAGGATGAGCTGAGGATAAACTGCTGAAGCCACACAATACATGTGATAAAAGAATATCCACCACACTAGCGTCAGCAACCTGAAACCATCCACCCCAGGATGGAGAAGAATGGAATCCTTTCTCATTAAATGGCTGACAGTAACAACCAGCTGAATTCATAACAAAGTAGAGAAATGATGAAAATCAAAATCTGACATTCTGCTTTGTCAAGGGTTTGTCTTGAGTTTCAAGTTTACCACAATAAGGAACACTGGACATGCCTTCTACCATACTGGGCAAATATCCCTATGATGCCAATATGCAACTTAAAACAAAGAATGCAAACGAGGTCTAGACTCAGATTTGGAGAACGAATCCTAGAAAATGTCATGCGTGCCGAGTTCAGAACCTCAGCCATGGCCGGTTTCCCACGTAGTCGGTGCTATGTGTTTATTCCTTACCCTATTCCAGCTGTTTTATGCAACTCTGTTCACTTCAGGAGAACAGGGAGAAGTTTTCCTTATCTCTGTAACATGCAGAGCATATGGCATAACCCTCTCAATTTCAAAAATGCTGAATAAAAGGTTGTTAAAAATATCGTCTCTTCCTATCTTACATTAGTGATTTATGATTACTCACATTTAAATTTAGGAGCAATTTATTTAAATATTTCCAGTAATAGCGGGAATCACAACATTAAATATAATCCTCATCCTCAACATAAAAAACACTAAATTTTTGAGCACTTACTATGAGATGAAAGTCTGTCTAGCTGCTCTTACAGGCCACCACTCCACTTAATCCTATTAAGAACTATTTGAGGTAGGTTTATCTCCATTTAATAGAAGAGAAAACCAAAGCATAAAGTTGACACAACTTGCTCAACATCACACAAAACTTTGGTGAAGCCAGGACTTGAACCCGAGCACACCATGGCTCAACACTCTACTCATACACTATATATACTAAGAGCTAACATCCAGAATCAGATTTCAAATGACCAAAAAAAGTGTTCACATATACAACACCAAAATAAAAATTAGCTCAGCAATATCTTTTCTACATTGCTTTAGAATATTATCACAAATGGATGAATTAGCATGAATGGATTAGGATGAATGGATGAATCTGTTGCATATAAGTGAATCAAATCACTTGACATTGCATACCTATGTATAAACTTAATTTTGAAAAACTATGCATCATCTATAATAGCTCTATTACTTCCTTTCTAATATAATTTATATTAAAAATTAGTTACATATTTTTTTAAAACGGACTAAGTAATGAGAACTTAATGCCAATCATCATCCAGTGCCTTATTACATTCTGGCATTGCTATTGTTGCCTTCACTTGATTCTAGAGTAAACTCATGTCCAGAGAGCTCAAGGAGCTTGCCCAGCATTGGAGTTGGTAAGTGGATGAATTGAGAGCTAGCCTGCCTGATGGTAAAGCCCACGATTGCTTCTGTTCACTGTGGTCCTGGGCCCTCCTGCTACACATGCAGAATGCACCATTCAGCATGTCTCATATGACAGAGGGACACTCAGCTGTGAATGGATTGTTTAGAGGGTGTGGGGTGGACACTACATCGAGCTTATAGTCTGAAACCCCCTTTATTCCCCACTCCTATCTCTACCCTCTCTTAAATGTCATTCTATTACACTAACCCGTGGATCCAGCATCTATGGATAAACTATATGGAATCATTAATCCCTTGAAAACACAGTTGACCCTTGAACAACATGGGTTTCAACTGTACAGGTCCAACTTATACATGGGTTTTTTTCCTTCAATAAATACACACAAGTGCTGTAAATTTATTTTTTCTTCCTTATAGTTTTCTTAATAACATTTTCTTTACTCTAGCTCACTTTACTGCAAGGATACAGTTTATAATACATGTAACATGCAAAATATGTGCTCATCGACTATTATCGGTAAGGCTTCCGGTCAATACTAGGCTATTGGTTAAGTTTTGGGGAAGTCAAAAGTTATACGTGGATTTTTGACAACACAGGGGTCGGCGCCCCTAACCCCTGAGTTTTCTCGAGTCCACTCTGTGTTGTGTGCACTTCTTCCAGGGCTGTGGCGCGCTTGCAGCAGACCACAGGAGCTCAGGCTCGCCAGGAGGTCCAGTCACCTCCTGGGGGGGCTCTAACAGAGCAGCCACTAGCCACAGGCGGCTATTTAAATGTGAATTTAGTAGATTACAAAATTCAGTTTCCCAGTCGCATTACTGGCATTTCAAATGTTCAAAATCTGCAGGTAGCTAGTGGCTGCTGTACTGGACACGATGATACATAACAATGCCTCCGCTGCAGAAAACTCTACTGGACAGAGCTGTTTTGAAGATTTAAAAATTAAACTTATCATAAAAATTCTTAAGTGGAAAAAACAACAACCAAAAAACTGTCTAAATTCTTTCTCTGGCCACTAATTTTAGATTATTAAGTGTGAAAGAAGCAGTGTAAGAGTAAATACACAGGCATAGAAAAATATCCTAGAGATTTTGTCCTACCTTCTCCTTCTTCTTTGATGGACTTTGGTTGAGAGACAGCAAAGCACTGCATAGTTTCATATTTCTGATGTGCTTCCTGGTTATCATGACCTTCCTCTTCGGACTCAGGCAAAGGTTTGACCAGCATCCGACAATTGAATGTGTGGCTGTTCCGCCTGGGAGGCTCGCCAGACCAGGATCCCCCATTCACTGAGCAAGGCAAAGTAATCCGAAATCATGAATTAGACTCACCACTGCCAAATTATCAAAATGAGATAGAAAGCATATAGTTATTTTATTCTTATATAGTGTTTATTCTTTTCTAAGTAATTTCATAACCTGGAGAGGAAAAATTATTGCGTTAATGGTTCAACAATTTGGGAAAATTCTAGGGATTTTCAAAATGTCTTTTTACTTTTCACTCTGACCCCTTCCCTTCAAGTTCAGACCTTGACTATTTATTACTAGAATACTATATAGTTAGCTATTTGGAGGTTTCTCTAATTTTGATTTCTTGGAAAGTTAGTTGAATCTACATGCATTCCAGTTTTAGATGTCACTCCCTACTCAAAAATCTGTATTAGCACAACTATATAACATGCATTCAATTCTTTAAAAAAAAAATTTCTTTTCTTTATTGATTTTAGAGAGGGAGAAGAAGAGAGAGATAGAAACATCGATGAGAGAGAACATTGATTGGCTGCCTCCTGCATGCCCCCCACTGGGGATTTGGCCTACAACTTGGGCATGTGCTCTGACCTGGAATTGAACCAGCGATCTCTTGGTGCATGTGCTGATGCTCAACCACTGAGCCACACCAGCTGGGCACATTAAATTCTTTAAAAGGCTTTGGACTTGATGTAGTCAGGAGTACAATGGTCATTCAAACTGATAAATCAAAATCTCACTAAGAATCCCCATCTTCTTCAACAGACCTTACCCACTGCCCAGCGTTTCCCATACCCAGTCTTTGCTCCCCTGCCCTGTCTAAAATGTCAGGCTGCCTCCATCCCTCCCGTCCAATGTATTCCTGTTCTAAGGCTGGGATCCTCTATACACTGAACCAGTTACTACAGGCACCACACTGCCTCTTCTTTCTTTACAGACATTTTAGTGTATATTCTGTACTGTGGCTGTGGCTGAATTTCTCTATTGTCTTTTTTGTTTCATGCATATTTCCTCATTAAGACTGAAAGATCCTTGAGGATGCAATACTAATGTCATTCATTTCTTTCAAGTGAAAAGGACTGCACATCTCTTCTATTTTAGTATCAATGCTTAGAATGATTAATTTTGAGATTTAAAGCATATTTGTATATCCCAAGGTCAACTTCCTCAGAGAAAACTGTTCAAAGAAATGTTTACCACTGAAAAGCTGGACTCAGAACCAAGCCTAATCCTCATTTTGGCATCCTTTTCTTTACTGTTCCTATGTGTTATCTAAAAAATATCAGGACCATCAGGGCAATGAGAAAGAGGATCAAAACCAGGCCGGTCACAGATAAACTAAGGCACTTGCGAAAGTCACTAGTCAGAAAGCACTGAGCAGGCCAGCTGGGTGTGGCAGGTGTCACAGCGAACGCAGTGCTAACCCCACAGCCACTGCGCTGTAGGGGAATAAAAAAGGAACAAATGCTAGAGAGAAAAAGGCAGTATCAAGTTAACTGCAACAAACCATTTTAGATTACAGAAGGAACCAGAAGTAACTGTATACGTTGATGCAGACATTTGGGAAGTTAATTTCATCACCAGCATGCTTAACAAGCTTATTTACATCATGAGGACTACACAGAGTAATCAAAGGAAAAAGAGTTCATGTTAACTCAGGTTAATAAGTAATTTGAAAGTATAAAAAAATATAATATAAAGTAAGGCAAAGAACTCTTTAGACAAGTGAATTAATAATAATGAATTAATAAGCATAGGTCCTTTGAGGAAGTCATAAAATTACTGAAGAAATTTGAAAATATTAGTTACTTGAAATAAGAAATCCCATTTTCTTGTTCATTTACTAGAGAATATAATAGAAGACTCCCACACAAGTATCAATACATCCTGTATTACTGTTGCAGTCACTTTGAATAAAGGGTTATCGCACAAGGGAAAAGCCAGCTATAATGGAATCTGAAAGGACCTTTTCCTATTTATTGTGGTAGTGATAAGACCAGTTAATATAAACAGTATTAAGAAAAAAAATAAAAAAACAGAAATACTTGCTAACTCAGGACTTGACCTTATTCTCTCTTAAAATATGCACTTCTTTTTTTCCATGAAGATGTTCTTAGTATCATCAGTTTAAGTGAGAATATTAAAAAAAGAATCACTTAGTAAGTGGGAACAGGTATACTCCACAGCAGCAAACAAGGCAGGCCCACGCTGTGAATCACCCACTTGTACACGGACCTTAATAATCACATCCACGCCTGACAACATCTCCAGCGTGAAACTAGGAAGCCCGATGTTGGGAACAGGGAGGTGGCTTAGCAGGCAGCACCTGGTGGAGACACCTGCAGAGTCACTGTGTCTGGGAAGTGGAAGAGCCCATTTAGGGATTCGGGGCTGGGAACGTCTTAGTCCTCTATCCCCACTTGTTTCTGAACATTTTATTTTTAGAATGTTGCATGCGCCCACATACATACTTTTTTCACCAGTCAGACTCAAAATAGGTTGAATCTCAAACTTCTCATGACCCTCTACTTACTCATGGAGAAAAAGATGAAACAAGAGTTGCTGGCACGGGAGAGAGTGGGAGGAAATTTGGCAGCTTCTTAAATAACAACAACAAAACAAATCCCATGAAAACAGTTGCCATGAGTACTTTCCAGCTGAATTATTTTCATGTACTTTAAATATAGGACCCAAACGATCAATCAAGATCAATGTCTGCAGATGTCCTTTTCTCCATCACTTCTAGGCTTAAATATTAACACAGCATCTCTATATCCCCAATTGACATAATATAGTTCTATCTTACCCCTCTAACCAAGACAATGTGTGCAGTGGGGAAGGGTGGGGGAATGAGGAGAGACCCAGCAGACGATCCGTTACCTATAGACTTTGGCAGCAGGTTTTTGATAAATTCAGTGTGGTCCCCAACATGCAGGATGCTATATACACTTCTGTTCATCAGCTCCTCCTGGTTATACCTTAGGTACTGTGTCACATTCTCTGAAACAAACACAACGTTGCCTTCCAGGTTCACTACAAAGAAGAACCCATCAAGGGCCTAAGGGAAAAGACACAAATTGTGTTAGAAAGGATACAACATAAAACCATATGCAATTGTTAAGAATGAGGTTGATGTACTACTCCATAGGGCCAAGAACGACTTCTATGTTACTAACCCAATACAAAGTAATGTTGTATAGTCTCTCATGTAATACAATGGAAGGGGTCACTGATAATTTTTCCTCAGTTTAAGGATAAATGCCAAGAACCAGCCCTCATCCAAATTTTATAACCTTTTAAGCTGCCTGGGTTTAAATGAGAAGAACTGCAGATGATCTCAGATCTTTAAAGAAACAGCAATCCTTTACTGTTTGTTGCATATGGAGAAAGGGTCTGGAGAAAGGGTTTGTTGATGTGACAAACTAGTCTTCATTGGGACCTCAGGCATAGGTGTGGCCAGCACTGCCCCGAGACATGAGGTTCTGGTTTGTAACAGTGAGAACTGGAAACTTCACTAACTGTGCTTGCCTGGTGCATTTGATCTCCAGACTGTAAGGATACAGGTTCCTACATCATCCAAATAACAGAAGCATTTTTCCTGTAATGGGTACATAGCTTCATTTTTCCCTGTCATTCCATTCTAGATTAGTGAAGGAGATGAGGATTCTATGATCATTTCAGGAAATAAGGATAATAATGATAATAATGATAGATATTGAGCATGCTTACTGTGTCTTAAACACACTGTCATTTTATTACTTACAATTCTGGAAGGAAATGACAGAGGAGGAAGATGTTGAGGCTCAAAGAGGCTAAGTGATTTGTCCAAGCTCTTGCACCTGCTCAGTGGCAGAATGGGGCTTTGAATGCAGGAGCATCTACCTCCAGAGCTCATGTTCTCGCTGACTATGCAGTAGAAGTGTTCCACCTCAGGACCTGTCCCTGTCCCTTTCCCAGCATGTTTGCCTCTGTGATGCAAAGGCTGGGAGTTCAGTGAGTTTCTCTGTCATTCCCTTTCCCTTTTCCAAAAAACATTTTTTTTTTTCTTTACTGATTTTAGATAAAGAGGAAATGAGAGGGAGAGAGAGATATAGAAACATTGATGAGAGAAAGCACTGATTGGTTGCCTCCTGCATTTCCCCCACTGGGGATTTGGTCCACAACCTGGGCATGTGCCCTGACTAGGAATCGAACCGGCGACCTCTTGGTGCATGGGTTGATGTTCAACCACTGAGCCATAGAGGCTGGGCTCCCCCTTTGCCTTTTTGAGCCCTACTTGTGAGAGTTCTGTCAGGTGAGTGATCAGGACTAGAAAAGGCTTGATATTAATCAGGCATACCTGGAAAGAGGGCCACCTGGTCTACCCAGTTTATGCCACACACTCTCTCCATGCTATGTATTTGTGACTGTTTTTAACATGAATGTTACATGTATATACTGGTGTAACGTGTATGAAAGGGGCATCAAGTGTTTACTTTTCCCCTAGTCTTGCTTTTTCCCTTAAGTTATTTAACAGGCTCCTATTTTGTGAGCTTTCTTTGAGTATATTCCATCTTTAATACAATTTTCATCACAAAACTAAGAGCTCTCTCAAATTAGAAATGACTATAAGGTACCATTGAAAAGCACCCTCTGTCCAGCCGGTGTGGCTCTGGGGCTGAGCATTAACCCATGCACCAAGAAGTTGCTGGTTTGATTCCCAGTTAGGGCACATGCCTAGGTTGTGGGCCTGATCCCCAGTGCGGGGCATGGAGGAGGAGACCAATTGATGTTCTCTCTCATCAATGTCTCTGTCTCCCTCTCCCTTCCTCTCTCTAAAACCAATAAAGAAAAAAGAAAAGAAAAGCACTCCCTACCCCCAATCAAGACCACTTAGTTTTAAGTTTTTCTTAAATACTAGGTCAGGTTTTACCAATGGTATAAACAAGATGCTCGGCAAAGCAAAACTATATGTAAATGGCCTTCCAAAATAGGTTGGCACCAACCCTTGAAAACCTTGTGTGACTGTGTGTGTCTGTGAGGGGGACAGGAAGTCAGTTGATTACTTATGTACCAAGTGTCCTTTTAAGCTCACTGCTTTAGATACACATTCGTCAGGGATTTTCACAAACAGATTACGTATAGTTCATTTTTGAAAGTGCATGTAAGTGTAGCTTCCTTTTGCTTTTGTACCCTGGTAAAAAGACTGATTTGTGGCTTATAATAGCTGAAAGATGAAATTGTTTCATCTTATAAAACTGTGTTGTTTTTAAAAGCTCACTAAGATATGCTGATGAAAAAAGCTGACATTTGGTTTCGTTGCCTAGCAACCACTATGCTATGATGTAAGCATGAGTGTGCATCTATGCCTAGGAACAGCTCAACAAGAACACGTTTTCTCTGTTTGAATTATGACATGTTAATAGAGATAAAGAAAGAGATCCAAACCTTAAGTCACCAGATTTAAACATTACCTCTAAAAAATTTAGCACTAACGTAGAGTTACTCTGGGACTTGCTCAATGCACTGAATTTTCAGAAGACTACTTTGAAACAGCAAAAATGTTGATTTTCTGAGATAAGACCCAGTGACACCTAGCAATCTGATTTCTACACTTAATGAACTTGCTCTCAAAGGGTTTGAGTCACAGCCTTGTGGTTACTTGAGGCATTTCTTTTTAGAAGCCCCAGAAGTCTTCCTAGGAGTTTCACACCTGCTATAATTTCCTCGATATAAAGAATAAACACAGGCATATGAAAGTTTCCTCATTGTAATAATTTAGATTACTATATTTTCAAATCAAGTTTGTTTATAATTCAAGATGTTTTTCATAGAAGTTATCTCCTTTCTTTCATCTAATTCTACACTGTCCACCTCCTTAGAGTTTTCTTATCTGCTCTAAGCACCGAGCAGGATCCAGCCTCCCCTGCCTTGTTAACTCTGGAAAAGCAGGTTAAGTGGTTTTTTTGCCTTTCCCCTGAAAATTGTAGCTGGAGGATTAGAAGTCACTGAATCACGAGAAATAAGCAAGGGTCATTTAGGGTCTTTTGACAGCAGGTCTGTCCCCAGGGAATGAACTCTCTTAATTTCTAAATACTATAAAGATTGTGGCAGATGAGCTTATATATTTTTTCCCTGTGTCCCTCCCCACCTTCCAATTATATGGTAGATATTCACACAGTTTTTAAAAGTAAAAATCATCTTATGAACCAATTGGGAAAAAAAGGGGTAATTATTGGTTATCTTTGCTTTAAAAATCCTAATTTCTTCTATAATGTGACTGCAGCGAAGCTTCTGGCCATGCGGTACTTTTCAATCTCATCCTATCAGCAGAGTAAATTATCCTGAGAATTGACATAATTTATATCTCAGGGCTCCTCTGCTTGTTATATATTCGATGACATTTCCCCCTCATCTTACCATAGCCTACATCTTGAATTTTAATTTTAGAATAGATACAGCACAGTACTGGGTGTTTAATATTGTACTAGTTAATAAAATAGGAAAGCTGGACTTTACAAATTCTAGCCAGCCGTCTGGTCATAAAACTTCAAAGTTAATAAAGAACAGGCAGTTAAGACTAACATTACATTTGTGATACTTATCTTAAAAGTTCTGCCTATTACTTCAATTTTTATTTTTATGAGATAAATAAACTAGTTTAAAGTTGCCTAAAATAAAAAGCATAAACCTTCTTTAGGTCCTCAAATTTTAACCTGTATATATCAGGCTCATGTAAAACCTAAGAATTTGGGGAAAATTTCAAACTAAAATATATCAAAATTTAACAGGTCTGACTGAACATGATTTTCAAAATGAATGCTCAACTGGCAGGCAGTGAAAGCCTGTCAATTTATATTCCAGTCTAGTCAGTTTCATTCTGTCATTCATCTGAAATGTATATATGCTGGAATCAGGAGCCAGTAGATACATGTTAATAAACCCAAGAGGGTAAATAAACAGTACTTCAATCTTAGGAGTGAAAATTAACTGAATTATCCTTAAATTACATTCACCTGGAAACAAATGTAGTACTGTAAAGATAAACAACACTGTAAAACACAGGACCAAACGAAGGTGTACTACCTCAAGCATCATCGGCCCCAGCGCGTCCTTGTCGATGACAGCCTGCCCCGTGGATGACACGTCGGACTTCTGCACTTCGTCTATGTTGGCAGCTGCTGCTTTCTCTGCAACAAACATAAGTGTGAATTAAATGGCAGTGCTATTTCAAGGACAAAGTGACACAGAAACACTTCTATTGTAATGATTTTTAAATCTCTGGTGGGACCAGATATGACTATAAAAGAGTTAGAGTACATCCCACTGCCACTGAACAGGAGACGCTGCTGGAAGCGGAAGCCAGAACATTCACTTTTTGCCTCCAGAACCTGTGGCTCGGCTCCCTCCCAGGCTGCTGATAAAATGAGTTTAGTGGCTTTACACTGCTCCCTGACAAGCACTTTTTCTAGATTATGAAACTGCTATGTACTGTAGCACAATAAGTTTCTACTCAAGAGGTTTTCCAAGCTAGGAAGACGGAGGGTCGGTTGTTCCGAGTTCAGTACATCAGATACATTTGTACACGTTTGAAGAAGGAACAGAGAGGTGTCTAACCTGCTTCGGCTGCTCGCTTCTGACGCTCTATAATGACCACCTTGACTCCTGTCCTGCTCCACCTCTTGTCACATTCATATTTAAAGTAACCAGAAAGATTTGGTCCCTGTCTTGGTGAAGGTGCTTAACCACTTAAGGCAGAGAGAGAAGAGGCACCGAGAGAATTTCAGTGGCCGCCCTTTTTTCTGGTACAGAGGTGCACACACAGTTCTGGACTGAAACGTGCGAGGCGGCTTTCTGGCCCACCTGGCCTGGAAAACATTCCATCATAGAAATTTCTCGCAGAAGAAAGAGATGCTATTTGTCAATACTATGTCAACTGGTTGTTTCAAGAACACCAAAAAAGGTTTCATTTACCAATTATTTGTATCTGGATAAATTATATCCTTGTTCACATTGCAAGTTATCATTGCAATTAAATGCAAATAAAGGAAACTGTAAATCAATTTAGTACTCAGAATCAACCTGCTTTCATGACCTTGGTAATTTTGTTGCCTCATTTATTATTATTATTTTGCAAAAAGAATTTTATTCAGTATTTTGAAAATTGGTAAAGCTTAATTTGTACCTGAGAACCTAGAAAATAAAATTGGGAAGGATATGCAGGTGCTCCAAATCCTACCACTCCTGCGACAAGAGCTTCCACATCTCTTCCCGTGGAGAAGAGATGACCTGTAGGTTCAAGCCTGAGCTCAGCCAGAAGTGGGGGGAAAGCAAGTCACCTCAACTTATTAAGGCTTAGTACATACAAACTGTGACAGGAGTAAATGGGACCACATGTAAAACACACTTTGAAACTTGCTACTAGCATACTTGTAGCTCTTCCTTACTGAGTTTCAAACCTAGAGCTTGTCATGAGCAGACTGCACCTGCTTTTTCAGTCAATACTAGATTCCTGATTCACCTCCTCAGAGCTAAGTAATTGTGAGCAGCTGTAAACACAGATATGACCGGTCTGGTGGCCTTTATAACTCAGAATTGTATGCATTTGTCAGTCCTCACTTTGTGTTTTCTTCCTGCTGCCTCCCTGACCGAGCTCTTGACTTCCAGGTCCCTCAACACTTGTCCTTTCTGCAGGCTTAGTCTCAGTCCAATTTCTCAGCCTCAACTGAAGCACAAAATAGCTCAGGCTCTCCAGGAAATCACTGCATATGACACCCCCACCCCCCTTTTCTTCTTCTTTTTTTAAAATTTAATTTATTGATTGAGAGAGAGAGGAAGGGAGAGGGAGAGAGAGATAGAAACATCGATGACAGAGAACATCGACTGGCTGCCTCCTGCAGGCCCCTCACTGGGTATTGGGCCCACAACCTAGGCATGTGCCCTGACCAGGAATCGAACCAGCAATCTCTTGGTGCATGGATCAACACTCAGCCACTGAGCCACACTGGCTGGGCACCATCCCCCTTTTCCTAGAACCCTTTCCACGGCCAAATATACCCCAAATAAATACATAATGGGGCATACTGCTTTTTTTCTTTGCCAGTTCACCTGGTAGAGCTGTAGATTTCTCTTTGGTTTCTGCTCACTTTTTCACCCACCAGTCCAGGGATAGGACTGGCACCATCACCTCTGGCTTCATCTAATGTTCATGTACAGTAGTACCCTCACCTTATCTGCAGTTTCTCCTTCTGTGGCTTTAGATACTCATGGTCAGAAAATATTAAATGGAAATTCCATAAACAAACAATTCCTAAGTTTTAAATTATGAGCCATTCTGAGTAGTGTGATGAAATCTCACACTGCCACCCCCACTCCTGCCCCATTAATCATCCCTTTGCCCAGTGTCTCCATGCTGTAGACGCTCCCACCCACCAGACACTTTGTAGTCATCTCAGTTATCAGACTGACTGTTGCAACATCATGGTACTTGTGTTCCAGCCATCCTGACTTGATCAAAGCACAAGAGCAGTGATGCTGGCAGTTCGAATATGCCACAGAGAAGCCGTAAAGTGCTTCCTTTAAGTGGAAAGGGGAGTGCAGCCCAACCAGATATTTTGAGAGATCACATTCATATTATAATTTTTATTATGGTATATCGTTACAACTGTTCTATTTCATCATTAATCTCTAATTTATAAATTAAACTTTATCATAGGTAAGTATGTATAGGAAAAACATAGTATATGAGGGGTTCAGTACTGTCTGAGGTTTCAGGCATCCACTGAGGGGTCTTGGAATGTGTGGCCTGAGGATAGCAAACTACTGGAATTGAACAGCCCTACATTTCAGAGGGCCCAGCAGGCTTTGGACCTAAGGATCCCTGATACTAAATACGCTCCAAACCCATGTAATAGATATATATTTATGTGGTCCAAATGTAGTTCTCTTTACTCTTTGTCTCTGGTGTGTGGTAGCCAGTGTATAGTAGTGTATGCTACAACATCTGGTAGAAGGAGTAATTCACAGCCTTTCCTTCACATCCTAACCACTCACAGGAGCATCTCACTCTCATTAGTGACATCTTTTGGTAGCAGCAGTGATTCTCACACTGGAATGTGTACATGAGAAGACCTCCCCAGGGAGGGTCCAGTAGAATTTGCAGATTGGAGAGGCCTTTGCATGAGGTGCTGATCCATATTCCTAGAAAGGAGTCCTGTTCTCCTCACCTCCTGCAGTGAGCAGCTCAGTCCATGAAACAGTACACTATCCCCACCAGAAGGTCAGTTTCAGGAAGGGGGCACTATTTTGCATCCTCAGTGGCCAGCACTGTCCTCAAGAAGCCTGTACTTGGTGGCTGACCGACAGACTTGGCTCTCCGCTGGCACTCATTCCAAGAAATAAAGAAGTAACTGGCATCAAGGGTGGGTGGAAAAAGGGACTGATTTTCCTTTTAGGCCCCCAGGCGCTGGAGGATAGAACACCTGGACAGGATCAGTAGTACAGAGAAAGGACTTCCTGAGAAGAATCGAATCACCTGTTAAGTGTCAGAGCATCTTTCTCTCTCAGGGTCCCAAGTTCTCCTCTCAACTGGTGGTTTTATTTCTTTTAAAGAATGGACTTCATTTAGGTTAATGTTGGGGGAAGTGAGATATAAGGCAACAGCTACTAATCACAAAGGCAACTCCCTACCTATTGCCGAGCACTAGAAGGTGTCAGGCTATTTGTCATCAGATTCTGATGTCACAACAGTAATGAATTATTGCTTTCTGTGGTGTCTATAATTACTGCAATTGAGGGGGAAATAAATACAAAACAACAATACTTGTAACAATCTATTTCTAAGTCTCTTATAATCAATACTTTGCTAGATGTTTTCATTTCAAGGAACTGATCATCATTCCAAAGTCTCCAAACTCAATTAATATTAATTATTTGAGTTTTGGGTCTTCAGATAATATTTGGGCCATCTATTAATATTCTGTGGAATTTTAAAACTCAAACTTACAAAACCCAATCAAACAGGTTCTTAAAAAGAGATAAGCTTTCATGCTGAGGTGTTTTAAATATTGCAGCAGCATGTGCAGACACTGCATTTTAGACTTTTATCACAAAACACGCAGAATGAGAATCATATCTGTAGAGCATTTTCTTTTATTTTTAGGAATCTACAGATTAGATATAATTTAGGGTAAGAGCCTAAAATTTAAAGCAGATGATTTTGATCTGATAAAACATGAGTTTGGGCTCTATTGGAAAGCCTAGATCAAAATAATTATCATGGCCCAGCCAGTGTGGCTCAGTGGTTGAACATTGACCCAGGCACCAAGAGGTCGCCAGTTCGAGTTCCAGTCAGGGCACATGCCCCGGCTGTGGGCATGATCCCCAGTGGGGAGCATGCAGAAGGCAACCGACCAATCAATGTTCTTTCTCATTGGTGTTTCTGTCTCTGTCTCCCTCTCCCTTTCTCTCTCTCTAAAATCAATAAAGAAAATAAATAAATACAATAATGAAAGTATATTTTAGTTAAAAATAAAAAACTACTGAGCATGGCCCTGGCCGGTTTGGCTCAGTGGTTAGAGCGTCGGCCTGTGGTCCAGAGAGACCTGGGTTCGGATCCCACTAAGGGCATGTACCTCAGTTAGTTTGTCCCTGGCCCTGGTTGGGTTGTACGGGAGGCAGCCACTCAATGTGTCCCTTTCACGTCGATGTTTCTCTCTCTCTCTCTCTCTCTTCCTCCTATTCTATCTGAACAAAAAATGGAAAAATGTCCTTGGGTGAGGATAAAAAACAAACAAAAAACAACAATGACATAAAACTACTGAGCACGGCACTGAAAGAACTTGTAATTCAATATATTAATGATATGGAATTAAAAAAGAAAAAGTCAGAATGGAGGCCACCATCAGGAAATTAACCAGTAGTACTGAGATCTGTTCAGTGCTTTGGTCCCCGCCTGTGTCTTGGGTGTCCTGCCAGGGACACCCAAATGGAATGAATGAATAATCCTTGTCAATTGAGAGATTACATTTAGCTGGGAGGGCAAAACAGTTACAATTGAACTAAATGAGAACAATTTAGGGCTAACCTGTGAGAAACTAACTTTAAGTTCAAAGAAGAAATAAAAATGGTTGGACATAGCTGAAGATATTTCACATACACTGTAGCTGAGTTGGATTCTGCAGGATATGTG